TGTTGCATCTTGAAGCGGCTGAAGAGCCGACCGGGAGATGAAGCTGCTACCCTCCTACTCCTGGCGTTTCCGCGCCTCATCCTAGCCGTGCCTCCCAAGCCAGGCATAGGTCAGAAGGCGCTGATCATAGAGCGGCTGGGGGCCTTCTGGGAGGGGAGGTGGCGGGAGTTGTTCGACGCTGCCATGGCGGCGGCACGGCCAGCAGTTCGCCCACTTGCCTACACGTGCTCTGACCAGGACCCGGAGGCCATCCGCCTGTCACGGTGCCGATCTCGGTGTAAAGTGGGAGAGTGGAGCCGTGGTTTGGCTTGCCTCACAGCAGGAGAGTTGGCTCGACCGTCTGAGGCTATGGTGCAGTCGCTGCGAGGGAAGCACCCAGCTAGCAGTGGCGAGGTACCACCGTGGGTTCGTGAGTTTACTGTCGACGCTCCTCAGCGGCCTCCACTCACGACCGACATCCTGGCTAGAGCTATCCACACAGCTGCTCGCGCCTCAGCTGCAGGGCCATCGGGATGGGTCACAGAGCATCTGCGCGACACTTTCCTCACGGAACCTTCCTGCCTCTCCCATCTGCTCGAAGTGTTCAACCAATGGGTGGCGGGACAGGTCCCCGAGCGAGCTCGGCCCTGGCTCGCCGCATCCAACCTAGTCGGGCTTTCCAAACCCAACGGTGACGTCCGGCCGGTGGCGATCGGGGAGGTGCTTCCGCGTATCCTCGCTCGAGCTCTCTGCATCTCGCTTCGCCCTGTGATGGCTTCTTATTTTCTGCCGTGTAACCAGCTGGGAGTGGGCACCAGGGCCGGGGTGGAGATTCTTACTCATTCTTTCCGGTCAGCGCTGGCCACTCACCCCGACTGGTGTGCGCTGCAGATAGATGTCGCGAACGCCTTCAATTCGTTTCATCGCCACGCGATGTTCGAGGGGCTGAAGGAGTCGCCTTTCTCAGGAATGATCCCATTCTTGCGTGTCTTCTATGGGACACCTAGCGACCTGTACCTCCGAGCGGGCCCTTTCGTACAGAGTCTTGAGTCGGCACGAGGATCGCGACAGGGGGACCCGCTCGGCCCTTTTCTTTTCGCTTTCACGCAGCAGCAGGTGCTGGGGACGGTGACTAGAGAGTTCAGGGACCTACTTTTCTTGAGCTATGCAGACGATACCTACATCCTGGGACCAGCGGCTAGGATTCTGGAGGCTTTTGGGGTGCTGCGGGAGAGGTTGGAGTGGGTGGGGCTGGAAGTGCAGGCGCACAAGTGCAGGTTTTGGGAGCGTGGAGGTGGGGATATGGAGCGGGCATTGCCTTTGGGGATGCAGCGGGAGGAGGAGGGTCTCACTGTGGTGGGCGTGCCTATTGGGGAGGAGGATTGGGAGGGGGCCCGATTACGGAAGCGGCTTCGCGAGTTGCAGGCGCCATTGCCGTGGCTCCCCCTGCTCGACCACCCCCAGATGGCCTCGCATCTCCTCGCTATTGCAGTTTCAGCACGGCCGATGTACCTGGCCCGGACTATGCCGCCGCGGCCGGAGGTGGTGGAGGCCTTTAGAGAGTGGGACAGCTGTCTGGAGGATTGCTTTGAGCAGCTTTTCCCCCCTGGCACTTGGGAGCAGGACCCCGGCAGGTCTAGGCGCGCACGGATGCAGTTGCATCTCCCTGTGCGCCTCGGAGGGTTTGGGATCCGGGCGGCGGCCTCTTTGAGTCCGCTCTCCTATGTTTGTGGGTGGGCGCAGGCCGCACGGGATATTGCACATTTGGGGGTGGCGGGCGAGGAGGCGATGTTCGCAGAGTACCTCACCACTTCGGCGGGGGCGGAGCTTCTTGACCCGTGGTTTGCCAAGGCCATTGAGCAGTTGCCCGCGACTATACGCCAGGAGCTGCCGGACTTACCCCTGTGTGTGGCGGCCCCTCCTCTTCGGCTTTTCCAGGCGCGGCAGCGGCAGTTGGCTGTTGAGGAGCTCCAGGCACTCCGCCGCTTGGCTCGTGACGATGCCACCCTGGCCCGTTTCACATCCCTTCAGGGCCCGGGGGCTGGTGCATGGGTTTCGGCAGTTCCGGCTCATTCAGATCTCACATTCACTGCAGCGGAGTGGGGCATTGCTGCTGCTATACGGCTTGGTCTCCCAATCCAGCAGCTGCAAGTGGCGGGGAGGTGTGTTTGTGGCACAGCGTATGATGACCCAGCAGACCCGCATCATGCGCTGAGATGCAAGCACCAACACGGTCCATCTCGGGTGCATGATGAGGTGAAGTTTGCGGTGGCAAAGATCGCTAAGGCGTCAGGGGGGGTGGTGACGATGGAGGATAGTGCGGTGCTGCCGGGGAAGCGGGTTGACGTAGCGGTGCGACGACCAATGGCTGGGGAGGCTCATGCTTTAGAGATTAGTGTCGCGGACCCGCTATCACTGTCTCCATCTCTGCTAGGGCAGTGCGGGCGAATTATAGGCGTGGCGGCAAAGGAGTGGGAGCGTCGCAAAACGGGGGATTACGCGCCTCTTCTTGCACAAAACTGAGGCGTGCAGTTCACCCCTTTGATAGTGGAGACGTGGGGGTGTCTCGGCGGTCGCTTCCGGCGGTGGCTTCGACAGCAGGGGGACGCGCACGTGGGGCTAGCTGTGTCACGGGGGGCTTGTCGGGAGGATGACACTTCGTTCTCGGCTTACCTTTTGGGGTCTCTGAAGGCGCTCATCGGAGTGGCGTTACAACGGGCGCAAGCTCGTGTCATCCTGCTTCGGGCGGCGTCTTCCATGGGGGGGTTGAATGTGGACTTGGTGGATCGGGAGAGGGACGATGTCGAGGTGGAGGGCGGGCCTCTTTGGGTGGAGGCCCCCTACATGGTGGATGTGCAGATGTGACTTGGGGGGGGAGGGGGGGGGGGCGAGGGGGAATGGGGTGCGAGATGGGACGTCTGGTAGGGGATCCTGGTTGGGTTTTTTCTTTATGGAGTATTTTTATGGGGCTTTTTATGGGTGTTGCGTTTGAGTTGTTTCTGGTGTCTTTCTTTCCCTTTTCCTTCTCCCTCTTTCCCTTTTCCTCTTTCTATCCATAAGTACTGTACAACTGATCAATGTCAATATGGTATGATACGTGGGGAGGGGAAGCCTAAAAAATAACAGCTGAATGTTTCTAAATCGTGAGCGAGTTGCAGGTGCAACCTAATATAGAAATATATCACATTGTATGCTTTACAATCTATTCACTAATTTGTCTGTCGTGGAGCTCCTGCCGTCTCACTGAGCCATATTCGAACGAACGTGTGTAACACCCCCCACTCTAGATTACCTTCGAAGTAAAATAGGCATTTTCAGCCGTCCTTATGAGCCCCCTGCTTTAAGACTTGCCAAAAAACGGTCCGTATGACTCCCGTACCTACCCGCGCTTCGACGCGCTCCGACGCCGCTGACGGATCGCAGCCCCCCAGCGGCGCGCCGCCGGTGCTGCAGTTCGGCGAATGGGGAGCCGACCGGTACTTGGGGAAGCGGAGCGGCGCCAATCGCGGGCGTAAAAGCAAAGGTGGCGCGGATGACGGCGTGGATGGCGTCGCGGGTGGCGGCGGGGATGGCGGCGGGGATGGCGGCGATCGGGGTGGTCGAGAAGGGAGAGGCGGGGAAGCGGGAGGCGGGGTGCTTCAGCGGCCCGCTCGGTGCGGCGATTATCGCGCGAAGTACGCGGATCGAAGCGACGCGTTCGTGGTCATAGACAACGGCTCGCACCGCTGCCGGATAGGGTGGGTGGCGTACGGGGTAGCGATTTCCTGGAGTAGGTGATACCTGGGGTAGGTGGTAACCAGGGTAGTTGTTACCTAGGACGCGGTCGTGGTCATAGACAACGTCTCACACCGCTGCCGAATAGGGTGGGTGCTGCGCGGGGTAGGCTCGGGGTGGGCGTATTTTTGGAGTAGGTAGGTGATACCAAGGGTAGGTGTTACCTAGGGCGCGTTCGTGTTCATCGACAATGGCTCGCACCGCTGCCGGATAGGATGGGTGGCGTACGGGGTAGGCGCGGGATAGGCGTTTCCCTGGGGTAGGTGTTATCGAGGGCAGTTATTACCTAGGATGGTTGGTACCCATGGTCAACTCATAACTTCCTTGAGTGATCAGGCTACGCAAAGAAACGAACAGGTATGACGGCATTGGGAATTCCAGGTGACATCTGCTGCTATCTGTCTCCATTGCAACCTCCCCCCCCCCCCCCCCCCCTCCTCTCCCCGCCTCTCCCTTCCCCATTCGCCTCCATTGCTTTGCAAAACTCTCCTTGATTCCGCTCCCCCTCACTCTTTACCTGCTCATCATACTCTTCCGCCGACCTTTTCCCCCTCGTTTCCCGCCCCCCTCACCCCTCTCTTCCCCTGCCTCCTCAATCCCATCTCTTGTCTTCGTCCTTTCTTCCCCCCCCCCCCCCCCCCCACACGCCCTCCCTCCCCCTCCCCCTTTCCCGCCATCCCTTCCCCCTTCCCCCCGCGTGGGCCATGCGCGCAGGTGGGGCGGGGAGGCGGATCCGAGGGTGGACTTCAGGAGCATGGTGGGGCGGCCGCGGCCTAGAAGCGGGGGTGAGCGGGGGGAGATTGGGGGCAGGGGGGAGGGGGTGAGCTTGGGGGGAGGCGGATCTGCGGGTGGACTTCGGGAGCATGATGGGCCGGCCGCGGCCACGCAGTGGGGTGAGGAGGGGGGTGATTGGGGGGTGAAGGGGGGGGACTGGGGGGTGAACGAGAGGATTGGGGGGTGTGGGGATTGGGGGGGGGACTTCTGGAGCATGGTGGGGCGACTGCGGCCATGCAGCGGGGGTGAGCGGGGGGGGGGGGGGGAGCGGGGGTGAGCGGGGGTGAGCGGGGGTGGGGGGGTGAGCGGGGGGGGGGGGGGGGGGGAGCGGGGGTGAGCGGGGGTGGTCGGGGGGGACTGGGGTGATGGAAGGGAGGGAACGGGGGAAGAAAAAGAGTGAGGGTGGAATGGGAAAGGACGGGTGGAGAAGGGGGGTGGGGATGGAGGGGCGGGAGAGGGTGAGTGGATGAGAAATGAAACGCTGTTCTTAGGGTTCATCTATCGCCTCCTCCTCCTCCCCCCTCACTGCGCACCACTTAACAGAAATAGACCTGTGCTCTTGCACCCATCATCACCCCACCGCCACCCAACTGCACATTCCTTCCCTTCCTGTTCGTCTTTCTCCGCGTCCCCACCCCACCGCACCCCACCGCACCTCACCACCAGGCTCGCAGGTGACAGTGGTGGGCGACTGGGACCCTGCGTGGCCGGCGCTGAGGGCGCTGGAGTTTGGGCGGCAGAGCATACGATCGCCCTTTGAGTCCAACGTCATCTATAACTTTGAACTCATGGAATGCGTACGTATGCCTCTCGCTGCTGCTTTCGCTCCCTTGCTGCTCTCCCTCGCTCCCTATCCTCCCTATCCCTCGATCGCCCTTTGAGTCCAACGCCATCTATAACTTTGAACTCATGGAATGCGTATGGCCCTGCCCTTGCACCCGCTTGCTGCCCTCCCTCACTTCCCGCAATCACTCGCTCTCTGCTCTTCCTCCCTCTCTACTCCTCGATCGCCCTTTGATTTGAGTCCAACGTCATCTATAACTTTGAACTCATGGAATGCGTACGTATGCCTCTCGCTTGCTGCTCCTCCTGCCTTCCATCCCGAGCCCCTCCCCCACTCAAGTTATGCTGTCCTGTCCCCTCTGACCCTAACCCTCTTGCAATAAATGGAAACCTGTATATCTGTGTGCAGCGTTGAGATCACCAAATGTCTGCCCTGCGTTTTATGTTATCAACCCCCCTCTTCTCCTTTCAGCTCGGTCTCCACCATCCCGCGGTCGTCCCTTCCACTTACAACGTCCTTCGCCTCTTTCTCTTCCTCCCCTTTTACTTCTGTGTCCATTTCCCCCCCCCTCCCCCCCCTTCGCGTCCCCTCCCTCCCTCTCCCCCTCCCTCCCCCCCCCCCCCCCCCCCCCCCTCCTCCCGTTGTGGATTTCCTCCACACTTCTCAGATCTTTGATTATGCATTTGATCGATTGGGGGTGGAAGGCAGCGGCAGGGTAAACCACCCTGTGTTATTAACCGAGGCTCCCTGCACGCCCCTGTACACGCGAGGCAAGACGGCAGAGCTCATGTTTGAAACCTACGGCGTGCCTGCGCTGGGTGAGTTTGGGATGTACAGGTATGGCATCGCTGCCCTTGGTAAGTTTGGGATATGCAGGTGTGGCATTGCTGCTCTGGGTAAGCTTGGGACATGCAACGCAACAAACGGTCCCTGTACACACGAGGCAAGACAGCAGAACTCATGTTTGAAACCTACGGCGTGCCTGCGCTGGGTAAGTTTGTGAGACTTTTGAGTCGACTCAGAAGTCACCTCATTTTAAACAAGCGCTCGAACAATCTACTTTCACTGTGTGTTTCTACTAGCAGTTGCTGCCACGTATTAATTGAGCCATGGCACCTCAGTGGTGTTCCATTGGACTCCAAGACAGCACAGCTCATGTTTAAAACCTACGGCGTCCGTGCATTGGGTAAGACATTACAGTTGTAGCATCCCTGCCCCCGACTGTTGTGTTGTGTTGTGGTGTGGTGCGGTGTGGTGCGGTGCGGTGTGGTGCGGTGCGGTGTGGTGCGGTGTGGAGTAGTGAGATGGGGCGCTTTGTGTGTGGATGTTTGAAGAGTGTTCTGGTGTCCGTCTGTTGCTAAAGAGATGGTCTCATCTCATACCCTTGTCTCCAATGGTCTCATCTCATACCCTTGTCTCCAATGGTCTCATCTCATACCCTTGTCTCCAATGGTCTCATCTCATACCCTTGTCTCCAATGGTCTCATCTCATACCCTTGTCTCCAATGGTCTCATCTCATACCCTTGTCTCCAATGGTCTCATCTCATACCCTTGTCTCCAATGGTCTCATCTCATACCCTTGTCTCCAATGGTCTCATCTCATACCCTTGTCTCCAATGGTCTCATCTCATACCCTTGTCTCCAATGGTCTCATCTCATACCCTTGTCTCCAATGGTCTCATCTCATACCCTTGTCTCCAATGGTCTCATCTCATACCCTTGTCTCCAATGGTCTCATCTCATACCCTTGTCTCCAATGGTCTCATCTCATACCCTTGTCTCCAATGGTCTCATCTCATACCCTTGTCTCCAATGGTCTCATCTCATACCCTTGTCTCCAATGGTCTCATCTCATACCCTTGTCTCCAATGGTCTCATCTCATACCCTTGTCTCCAATGGTCTCATCTCATACCCTTGTCTCCAATGGTCTCATCTCATACCCTTGTCTCCAATGGTCTCATCTCATACCCTTGTCTCCAATGGTCTCATCTCATACCCTTGTCTCCAATGGTCTCATCTCATACCCTTGTCTCCAATGGTCTCATCTCATACCCTTGTCTCCAATGGTCTCATCTCATACCCTTGTCTCCAATGGTCTCATCTCATACCCTTGTCTCCAATGGTCTCATCTCATACCCTTGTCTCCAATGGTCTCATCTCATACCCTTGTCTCCAATGGTCTCATCTCATACCCTTGTCTCCAATGGTCTCATCTCATACCCTTGTCTCCAATGGTCTCATCTCATACCCTTGTCTCCAATGGTCTCATCTCATACCCTTGTCTCCAATGGTCTCATCTCATACCCTTGTCTCCAATGGTCTCATCTCATACCCTTGTCTCCAATGGTCTCATCTCATACCCTTGTCTCCAATGGTCTCATCTCATACCCTTGTCTCCAATGGTCTCATCTCATACCCTTGTCTCCAATGGTCTCATCTCATACCCTTGTCTCCAATGGTCTCATCTCATACCCTTGTCTCCAATGGTCTCATCTCATACCCTTGTCTCCAATGGTCTCATCTCATACCCTTGTCTCCAATGGTCTCATCTCATACCCTTGTCTCCAATGGTCTCATCTCATACCCTTGTCTCCAATGGTCTCATCTCATACCCTTGTCTCCAATGGTCTCATCTCATACCCTTGTCTCCAATGGTCTCATCTCATACCCTTGTCTCCAATGGTCTCATCTCATACCCTTGTCTCCAATGGTCTCATCTCATACCCTTGTCTCCAATGGTCTCATCTCATACCCTTGTCTCCAATGGTCTCATCTCATACCCTTGTCTCCAATGGTCTCATCTCATACCCTTGTCTCCAATGGTCTCATCTCATACCCTTGTCTCCAATGGTCTCATCTCATACCCTTGTCTCCAATGGTCTCATCTCATACCCTTGTCTCCAATGGTCTCATCTCATACCCTTGTCTCCAATGGTCTCATCTCATACCCTTGTCTCCAATGGTCTCATCTCATACCCTTGTCTCCAATGGTCTCATCTCATACCCTTGTCTCCAATGGTCTCATCTCATACCCTTGTCTCCAATGGTCTCATCTCATACCCTTGTCTCCAATGGTCTCATCTCATACCCTTGTCTCCAATGGTCTCATCTCATACCCTTGTCTCCAATGGTCTCATCTCATACCCTTGTCTCCAATGGTCTCATCTCATACCCTTGTCTCCAATGGTCTCATCTCATACCCTTGTCTCCAATGGTCTCATCTCATACCCTTGTCTCCAATGGTCTCATCTCATACCCTTGTCTCCAATGGTCTCATCTCATACCCTTGTCTCCAATGGTCTCATCTCATACCCTTGTCTCCAATGGTCTCATCTCATACCCTTGTCTCCAATGGTCTCATCTCATACCCTTGTCTCCAATGGTCTCATCTCATACCCTTGTCTCCAATGGTCTCATCTCATACCCTTGTCTCCAATGGTCTCATCTCATACCCTTGTCTCCAATGGTCTCATCTCATACCCTTGTCTCCAATGGTCTCATCTCATACCCTTGTCTCCAATGGTCTCATCTCATACCCTTGTCTCCAATGGTCTCATCTCATACCCTTGTCTCCAATGGTCTCATCTCATACCCTTGTCTCCAATGGTCTCATCTCATACCCTTGTCTCCAATGGTCTCATCTCATACCCTTGTCTCCAATGGTCTCATCTCATACCCTTGTCTCCAATGGTCTCATCTCATACCCTTGTCTCCAATGGTCTCATCTCATACCCTTGTCTCCAATGGTCTCATCTCATACCCTTGTCTCCAATGGTCTCATCTCATACCCTTGTCTCCAATGGTCTCATCTCATACCCTTGTCTCCAATGGTCTCATCTCATACCCTTGTCTCCAATGGTCTCATCTCATACCCTTGTCTCCAATGGTCTCATCTCATACCCTTGTCTCCAATGGTCTCATCTCATACCCTTGTCTCCAATGGTCTCATCTCATACCCTTGTCTCCAATGGTCTCATCTCATACCCTTGTCTCCAATGGTCTCATCTCATACCCTTGTCTCCAATGGTCTCATCTCATACCCTTGTCTCCAATGGTCTCATCTCATACCCTTGTCTCCAATGGTCTCATCTCATACCCTTGTCTCCAATGGTCTCATCTCATACCCTTGTCTCCAATGGTCTCATCTCATACCCTTGTCTCCAATGGTCTCATCTCATACCCTTGTCTCCAATGGTCTCATCTCATACCCTTGTCTCCAATGGTCTCATCTCATACCCTTGTCTCCAATGGTCTCATCTCATACCCTTGTCTCCAATGGTCTCATCTCATACCCTTGTCTCCAATGGTCTCATCTCATACCCTTGTCTCCAATGGTCTCATCTCATACCCTTGTCTCCAATGGTCTCATCTCATACCCTTGTCTCCAATGGTCTCATCTCATACCCTTGTCTCCAATGGTCTCATCTCATACCCTTGTCTCCAATGGTCTCATCTCATACCCTTGTCTCCAATGGTCTCATCTCATACCCTTGTCTCCAATGGTCTCATCTCATACCCTTGTCTCCAATGGTCTCATCTCATACCCTTGTCTCCAATGGTCTCATCTCATACCCTTGTCTCCAATGGTTGCACAACATACTCTCGTCCCCAATCCTCCTCTCGCATCTCATGCCATCCCATCCCACCCCTCTCCACCATCCTCGGCTGCCCTGCACCCTTGCAGCATTCGGAGTGGACGGGGTGTTCAGCTATCGCCACAACACCGCACAGCACCACTCTGTACCGGACGGTCTGCTGGTCAACTGCGGCCACTCCACCACTCATGTCATGCCCGTACGTGAGCCCCTGCTGCCCCCTCGCTCCACTCTCTCACCCTGTCTTTCGCACTCTCCCGCACTCATCTCCTTTGCTCCTTCAGCCCCCTCACTTGCTCTCGCACCTCCCCTCTCTTGCTTCCTCACTCCTCCTCTGCTTCATTGCCAGCTGGGCTGGCGTGTGGTGATTTCTGGGTACACAAAGGAATCAGCTCTCAGTGGCTCGTGACTCGGATTCACAGCTCGCGACTGCTCGTGACCCTGGCAGTCACGAGCTTTTGAGGCGCCTCAAAAGCACAGCTCGCGACTGCTCGTGACCCTGGCAGTCGCGAGCTTTTGAGGCGCCTCAAAAGCACAGCTCGCGACTGCTCGTGACCCTGGCAGTCACGAGCTTTTGAGGCGCCTCAAAAGCACAGCTCGCGACTGCTCGTGACCCTGGCAGTCACGAGCTTTTGAGGCGCCTCAAAAGCACAGCTCGCGACTGCTCGTGACCCTGGCAGTCACGAGCTTTTGAGGCGCCTCAAAAGCACAGCTCGCGACTGCTCGTGACCCTGGCAGTCACGAGCTTTTGAGGCGCCTCAAAAGCACAGCTCGCGACTGCTCGTGACCCTGGCAGTCACGAGCTTTTGAGGCGCCTCAAAAGCACAGCTCGCGACTGCTCGTGACCCTGGCAGTCACGAGCTTTTGAGGCGCCTCAAAAGCACAGCTCGCGACTGCTCGTGACCCTGGCAGTCACGAGCTTTTGAGGCGCCTCAAAAGCACAGCTCGCGACTGCTCGTGACCCTGGCAGTCACGAGCTTTTGAGGCGCCTCAAAAGCACAGCTCGCGACTGCTCGTGACCCTGGCAGTCACGAGCTTTTGAGGCGCCTCAAAAGCACAGCTCGCGACTGCTCGTGACCCTGGCAGTCACGAGCTTTTGAGGCGCCTCAAAAGCACAGCTCGCGACTGCTCGTGACCCTGGCAGTCACGAGCTTTTGAGGCGCCTCAAAAGCACAGCTCGCGACTGCTCGTGACCCTGGCAGTCACAAGCTTTTGAGGCGCCTCAAAAGCACAGCTCGCGACTGCTCGTGACCCTGGCAGTCACGAGCTTTTGAGGCGCCTCAAAAGCACAGCTCGCGACTGCTCGTGACCCTGGCAGTCACGAGCTTTTGAGGCGCCTCAAAAGCACAGCTCGCGACTGCTCGTGACCCTGGCAGTCACGAGCTTTTGAGGCGCCTCAAAAGCACAGCTCGCGACTGCTCGTGACCCTGGCAGTCACGAGCTTTTGAGGCGCCTCAAAAGCACAGCTCGCGACTGCTCGTGACCCTGGCAGTCACGAGCTTTTGAGGCGCCTCAAAAGCACAGCTCGCGACTGCTCGTGACCCTGGCAGTCACGAGCAGTGATTCACATCACAGCTCGTGACCCAAGCTCGACCACTTGCTCAGCCTGCCTGCATGCATGCCTGCCTGCATGCATGCTTGCTTGCTATATTGCGCTTTTTTTTTGCGGCCATCAAGAACCATTCGTGTGTTGCCACGTGGCGCCATGTATGCAGGCAGATGATCGCAGGGCAGCCTCTGCTGGACGCCACGTGTCGCATTCCTGTTGGCGGATGGCACGTCACTGACTACCTGAAACGCCTCCTCACTCTGCTGTATCCTCAACACTCGTACGTGCCTTCGAGAATTCTCAAAATTTAATTGTCAACATGCGTACCTCCCTTCTATTGATTCTCAATCCAATAGTGAATCCTCAACACACGTACGTTCCCTGCATTCTGTGCCTTTTTCTCCCCCTCGTTTCCCCCACCCCAATCCCATGTCAACTATCATGCCGCATCACACTCTCACGCCGCGTCTCTTTGTCACGCCACGTCACTTTGTCATGCCACGTCACACTCCCACGCCACGTCACTCTGATGCCACGTCACCTGTGCCACCACACCCACCCCCCCCCCCCCCCCCCAGGTCTGCCATAACGTGGGAGCGAGCTGAGGAGATGAAGTGCCGGAGTGTGTATGTGGCGATTGACTACTCACAGGAGCTTAAGACATTCCAGGTGAGTGAAACCAATAAGTAGATTCCAATTCAAGGCGCTTGACACTGTGACATCTTTGCATGGGAGGCCCTTTCACAACCCATCCTTCAGCAGAAACAGCCATCAAAACAGGCACCGAAATCTCACACTTCATCCCCTTCCTTCCGTTCCTCCTTCCCTCCTCCCCCTCCACCCAGACCCTAGACGCCCCAGTAGTTTCCTGGCAGCTTCCGTGGGTGCCGCCCGTAACCCCCAGGGCCCGACAGAGGAGGAGCTGGCGAGGCGGGCGGCCAACAAGGAGCGCGCGGGGCAGCGGCTGAGAGACATGGCGGTTGATGGAGTTCCCAACCCCCCGTTTTCCCCTTCCCCTGCCCCCTGCGACCAGTCCCCAGACGCCCCGGTGGTTTCCTGGCAGCTTCCATGGGTACCCCCAGTGGCCCCCCAGGGGCCATCAGAAGAGGAGCTGGCGAGGCGGGCGGCCAACAAGGAGCGCGCGGGGCAGCGGTTGAGAGACATGGCGGCAGCCAAGCGGGCGGCGAAGCGGGCGGCGGAATTGGAAGAGGTGGAGGGCGAAGTGGAGGGGTTGAGAGCGGTGATCGAGGATGTGGAGGACGGGGCGGAAGGGAGAGAGGCGATCATGGTGAGCTGTGGACGTAATCTTCGCCTGCCTTGTTTTGAGACGTCTCAAAAGACGTAATCTTAGCCCGCAGTCGCCCGCAGTTGTTTATCCTCTCTTCATCCGCCACCCTTCATACGCCACTCTTGAGGCACCTCAAAAGTCCTCCTCTTCTTTCTCTCCTCCCCTAATCCCACCCTCTTCCTCCTCTCCCATCCCCCAGCTACTTTCCCGCGTGCGCTGTGCCACCCTCTCAGAAGCCAGAGGCAAGCTCGCCAAGAGCCTGGCTCAGGAGACTCATAAATCCGCTCCTACTTCTTCTCTCTCCCCTCCCCTCACCCACCCATCCATCACAGCTTCTCTCCCGCGTGCGCTGTGCCACGCTCTCAGAAGCAAGAGGCAAGCTCGCCAAGAGCATGGCTCAGGAGACTCATGAATCCGCTCCTTCTACCTTACCTCTCCCCCCTCACCCACCCATCCATCACAGCTTCTCTCCCGTGTGCGCTGTGCCACGCTCTCAGAGGCACGAGCCAAGCTCGCCAAGAGCATGGCGACCCTCAGGAAACTGAGGGGGCAGGAGGGCGAGGGGGAGGGCGAGGAGGGTGAGGGGGAAGGTGAGGAGGGGGAGACCGGGTCGGTGGCAGGTGGGGCAGAGGAACAGGATGAATCAGTGTTGTACCCTCTGCTTGATATCCCCGATACAGAGCTCACAGCAGAGGAGGTGAGACAAGAGTATTGAGAGCAGAGGAGGTGAGACAAGAGTATTGAGAGCAGAGGAGGTGAGACAAGAGTATTGAGAGCAGAGGAGGTGAGACAAGAGTATTGAGAGCAGAGGAGGTGAGACAAGAGTATTGAGAGCAGAGGAGGTGAGACAAGAGTATTGAGAGCAGAGAAGGTGAGGGTCGGTGCATTGAGAGTCAACTCATAGGAGCAGGGAGAGTCGGTGCTGTACCCGCTGCTGGATATTCCCGATGCTGAACTGACGGCCAAGGAGGTGAGAGGAGAGAGGAGGTGAGAGGAAAGTGGAGGTGAGAGTAGTAGCTGTTGTGTCAATTCAAGCTGACAATGCAGGGTGAGTCGGTGCTGCACCCGCTGCTGGATATTCCCGATGCAGATCTGACGGCCAAGGAGGTGAGTGAGGGGAGTGAGGACACGCAGAGGAGGTGAGCTGGCTTAAAGGAGCAGAATAAGGTGGTGTTGTTCCCACGTGATAATAAATTTGTCGTGAGGCGTCTGAAAGCAAAGGTAGTATCACGAGGAGGCTTTATACCTGCGTGATTTACCAAAAGTATTTCTAACGTCTCAAAACAAATGTAAGATCAGGTGACTTTTGAGTCGACTCAAAAGTTGCCTGCGTGATTTACCAGAATTATCTCTAACGTCTCAAAGCAAATGTAAAATCACGTGGCAGTGTTGTGGAATGAGGAGCTGCTTGGAATGACACAAATGGATGCAGTGCAGAGCTATGTTGGAAAATACGCGCATGGCGTATCAGTCGCGTACGTACTATACGCTACCGTACGTACGTGATACGCCGGATTGGCAGTTTTAAAAACGCTCAGAATTCGCTGTGTCGGTCAGACAAAAAAAAACACCGGGCAGAGAAAAAACACTTCGGCAGAGGTAGAATGTCTAAGGGGATGATTACTTCAGCAATACTTTCAGATGCGGATTACTCCCTTGTAGTTCTCGCGATTAGGATCTCTGAAATGTCAGATATTTGTTGGCTAAAGTCGCCCTGAAATTGCGGCTGCAAAGACCTGGCAAGCTATGCGACGTTACTCCACTGCTAGCAATAGCAGGTGCGACATTAGCGGTCGACATAGCTATTCAAAGCTAAACTACGAGTTAAGAAGGGACGTAGAATATAAGAGGCGTGAGACAAAATGAGATTAAGAAAGTCTCCTCTAGCTCATGTACCCACGCCGACGTGAAAGGTTGGGAACGGAAAGGTTGGGTTTGGGAGGTGGTGTGGGGTGATGTGCGGTGGAGGGGAGGGGAGGGAGGGGGGGGCATCGACTTTCGAAACTCAAAATTAGGGTACGTTCCTGGCTGGTGTCAAGCTTCGGGCCTTCCCGGGAAGACCCGAAGCTTTGGGTTAAAGTTCCTGTCAAACCTTGTGTTTTCCGGAAACAGGGGCAATTTTTGGCCGGAAGACCCGAAGTTGGTCTCGGATGACCCAAAGTGGGTCCAACTTCCGGTCATCCGCGGATGACCGGAAGCTTGACACGCGCCAGGAACGTACCCTTAGGTTTCACGGAATCGCAGATCGCGGAATAAGCGGCAACAAATTTTTTTCCGGGCTGCCCAACGAAACGTATCACGTATTACGGAACGTATCACGTTTTTCCGTATATACGTTATCGTATAAACGTGATACGCATCGACGCCCAAGCGTTTTTTCCAACATAGGTGCAGAGCTGCTCGCTGAGGAGGTGAGGTGAGGCACGGCACAGAGCCTTCTCCGCACCTTCTCCGCACCTTCTCCGCACTTTCTCTGCCGCACATCGTTATAGCCACATGCTGTCTGCTACCATTCTCTCATGCGTGCTCAAACACGCCTCCCTCCTTCACACACCAACACTACTGCGAATGCAAATGCCCTTCCTCTCAAATTCTCATCCTTCTGCCCTCTAGGACCTCTGTTCTGACATATTTCAGAGCTTCTTTCTCACCCTTCTGTTTTTTAGTCAGCTCAAAAACACCCTCTACACCCTCCGTTCGGACCCATTTCAGTCAGAGCTCCTTTCTCACCCTTCCCCCCTCGGCCCCTTCCCTCTCCTCGGCCTGCCATGACAGTTGCGGGAGAAGCGGCGGCAGCGAACGATGCGGGGGATAGCGTTGGGGCAGGCAAGGATGAGACAGGCAGCAGAGGAGAAACGGGCTAAAGCAGCTGCTGAGAGGGATGAGGAGGAGAGGAAGAGGAGGTGAGGCAAGCGGGCAAGCGGGATGCATCTATTTCTGAGGTGCCTCAGTGTTTGCGTTGGGGCAGGCTAGTTTGAGACAGACAGCAGAGGAGTAGCCTGCCCCAAGGCTGCTGCTGAGAGGGATGAAGAGGAGAGGAAGAGGAGGTGAGGTGTCGAGAGGAACGTTAGGTGAGGCGGGGAGGAAGAGGACGTGAGGCGCAGAGAGGAGGAGGTAATGTGGGCGGGGACGAGTCGGTCTGGGAAGAGGTAGCACTGGTGAGCATATGACGCTGCTCTGGGAGCCTCTTTCCCAACTTCACCTTCCTGTGTCCCTTCCTTTGCCTCGGTTGCCGTGCCTGTTGCTTTGTTGTGCCCCTTGCAGGGAGAACCCAGAGGCGTATGCAGCAGAGCTGAGGGCACGGTTTCAGCAGCTGCAGGGGGCCTTGGAGCAGAGGAAGCGGAGGAAGATGGGCGGAGGCGCCGTGGTGCTTGGTGCTGCCGCTGCGTCCCCATCCGTGGGTGGCGGTAGCAGTGTGGGGGGAGGAGAGGGGTCTGATGGAGGGGCAGGTGGGGGGGAAGCGGTGGGAGGAAAAGGAGCAGCCGCAGCAACGACCACAGGAGCAGCAGGAGTAGCAGGAGCAGCAGGAGCAACAACAGCAACAGCAACAGCTGGAGGGGAAGGAGGACTAGCAGCTTCAGTGGCTGCTCCCTCGCCTGTGCTGTCTCTCGCGGCAGCTGCAGCAGCAGCAGCGTCAGGCCAGGCAGTGAAAGGCGCGACTCTAGACATCACTCCCCTAGGGGGACCTGCTAGCGCTCTTGCAGGGGGCTCTAGCGTGGGTATGGGAGGAGGGCTGGCTGGGAGCGTGGCTGGGGGGCGAGCGGAGCGGATCACAGCTGCGCACAGGGAGAGGATGAAGCTGCTGACTGCTGCTGCGTTCGAGAGTAAGAAGGGGCGGAGAGGCGCGGGAGGGGGGAAGGCGGGAGGAGGTGGAGGGGGAGGAGGAGGAGGAGGTGGTGGAGGGAGGAAAGGAGGGGGAGCGGGGGATGAGGATGATTTTGGGATGAGGGATGAGGATTGGTTGGTGTATAAGCGGATGAGTGCGAAGGGGGTGGAGGAGGAAGAGGAGGAGGAGGCGGAGAGGGAGGCTGCAGAGCTGGAGAAACTGAGAGCCAGGCTGCAGGTGAGGGTGGGTGGGGTTGCAGGTGAGGGTGAGAGCTAGGGTGAATGGTTGAGGTGGTGATGGGGCGCTGTGCGCACCTGACCTGGCAGCGTTCTTTGTTCCTTACAACTTTGACCATGTACTGGTAATTCCCATCTCTTATTCGACCCCCGTCCCTTAATCAACTCATCAGCTATCCCGTTATCACCTCCGACTGCCTGTTGTGTCTTTCAGGAAGTTGATCCGGCCTTTCTAGTCTCCATCAATGCTTCACCTGCCACAACCTCAGCCCCGGGCACTGGCACCAGCCTTTCCGGACCTGCCTCCTCAGTTCGGCAGCCCACCGACGCAGATTACCAGATCAGGCTCGGGGTGGAGCGTGTCCGGGCAGCTGAAATTCTTTTCGAGCCGTCTCTGATCGGGCTCGACCGGGCAGGCTTGGGCGAAAGTTTGGGTGCTGCGGTGAGAAGAACAGCGGAGGAGCTAAGGAGCAAGCTAGTCCCATTGTATTCTAGAACTAAGTCAGCTAGTGGTGCTCTTGCCTTGGCCACTGCTGGTTCGGGCATGGAAAATGTTCCGCCGAGCTTTCTTTTCCTGACCGGGGGATGTTCGCTGCTGCCCGGAATGAGGGGCAGGTTGGAGACGGAGTATCGGCAGGTGCTGCCAATGGGGAGTGGGATAAAGATTGTGGAGGCTCGGGATGTGTTCTGGGATGCCTGGAGGGGTGCGGCAGCCATGGCTGGGGATGGGAGGAGACTGCTACGACAGGCTGTTAGTCGGAAGGAGTATGAGGAGCGTGGACCGGATGCGTTTCGGCGATACAAGTTTGAGTACTTTTGAGATGTTTTGATTTGGATGAACATTATGAGTAAATTTTGCCTAGTTTGGCATTAAGATTTTTGCATAATGATCACTATTTAGGCCTTGAAACTTGATGAAGCGCGTTGTCAGTGACATACCAGCTGTAATCAGCGGGAACCACGCGCTGTAACGGGTCCGCTAAAGTGAAGAATGGCACCCAGCCTATGCCCTTGGGAACACCGACACAACACACCTCCCCCCTCCTCACCACTCCCAATCCGATCAAATGAACCTTGAGAGAATTCCGGCGGCTCTTCTTGTCGCGCAGACTCCAAGGTCCCATGATCCCATCTACAGTCGGTGCTCATTTCAATAACACCAGGTAGGTGGGCGGCATGTGTTTGAAACGAGTTTTGAGAACTTCGCCACATTCGCCCTTGTCGCCACGGGCAAAAATGTGATTGTAAAACGAAATTGGAATGTGAAACGAGTCTAGGGGTTTAAGTTCGTAACCAGGTAAACAATTCTGATGACAGGCAGCCGTTGTTGTTTATGAACTGTAGATGTTTTTCTTCCTCGACTTGGTGACTGTACCCCGAAATCAGCACAATCACCACTCACAGGCAAAACGTTCGCGAGTAAGGGTGATGAGCAAATTTTTGTGATAGGCTGAGCATCGACTGTATTTTACTGCCACCGCAGCTACTGCATTCCTTTACCTAGTCTTTCCACGCTCGCGAGGTTCCATACCCCCGTGTCTGACGCGTCGCGACTTATGTGATGACGTTCTCGACCGGCGTTAGTCCCGTGTTTGTTGCAACTTTCTGCTTGCTCTAAGTGATCATCAGCATTGCGTCACGGTTCGTCGACTCGTAGTGTTGGACTCGCGTCGCGTGCGCCGTTGCGGCGCGCAGTGACATGCGCGTCTCGTGTGACTCTCCGCTGACTTCCAAAAGTAATCATTTTCTTCAGCCGTTGCCGTTATCTTCGGAACAGCGTTCCTTCAAATCGCAGGGTGAATCTTAGTATTTTAGAAACCATCTGCTATACCTTTTCCGGCTGGTTACGCCAGCTTGTAGCACCCCAGGAACTTAAACGCTGGGCGAGACGGGGGGTCACGATGGATCGCAGCGAAGAGTTCGTTCAAACCTTGCGAAGATCCGCACTTGCTCGTTAGCCACTATCTTTCCAATTATGCAGCAGCCGCATATGCCTCTTGGACGGGAGTGAAATCGTAACCAAACGATTTAAAGGAGTTTATATTCTAGACACGGCTTCTAGACTTCGAGAGTTTGAAGTTGCTGAAGTTGCGATTATGAAATTCCGGCATTCCCAAGATTCTGAAAACTTGCTAAGCGATTCTGAGCCAAGGAGCTGTCATCAGCTGATCGCTCGGGTAGTGTCCAGCATTTCATTCGCCGCGGATCATCCATTAGTGCCTCCTACGAGTAGCTCGTCGATTCCTGATTGGCCACCTCTCCTTCCGATAAAAGAATAGTCTTGATTTGTGATCTTCCTCATCTCCGTCTGCCATGGCGATGAAGGTGGCTAAGAAACCCGGGAGTTTGTGAGTTGAAGTCCTTGTGACAGATTAGTCAGACTTCTCAATTCCAGCCATGGCGATGAAGGCGGCGGCTACTAAGAAACCTTGCAGTTGATCTCCCTGTGACGGATTTTATAGATATTTAGGAATCTGTCATGGCGGTGAAGGTGGCCAAGAAACGCGCTCCGATTCGGAGACGAGCCAGCGCCGGGGGGATCGCGGGCGACGGATTTAGCAGCGCGTTTGGCGAAAGCAGCAGCACCACGCGTCTGCTACTATTGATTGGAGGCGCCGCGTTTCTAGTGTGGATTCTGAACCACAGGTCGTTCCTCAGAACGTCTTCATATCCGGCAGAAGAATCGTTCCTTAACGGTCATAGGAGAAGAGGGGGTTCAAGGGGGGCGGACCCGTGGGGTACAGAGGACGGGAGAATGCTTCAGAGCCGTGACTATAACGGGAGAGGGGGCTACAGTGGTAGAAGTGGCTATTATGAAGGATCAACGGTGGGAAATACTTTAGATCAACGGTCAGGAGGCGCTGTAGCTGTGGGTTTAGGGGCAGCTGGAACGGGAGGGGTTGGGGAGATTGGGGGAGGAGCAATTGGGGCAGGTGGCAACCCCAGAATACCCCACGTGGACTCGCCAGGAGCGACAGGGGGAGGAGAGGATAGGCCAGCCAGAGAGCGATTGGGGATGGGAGGCAGGGGGGAAGGGGGTGGAGATGCGCTCCGGCAGCAACGGTTCTCGGATTCGACGGATATCGGCCCTGAAATTGTCAGTATGAGGAGCAGTTTCGGCAATGGTGGCAGCGGCGGCAGCAGCAGCGGTTCTGGCAGCAGTAGCGGTAGTGATAATGGCAGTGGTTGGAGTGGCAGCAGCAGTGACAGCAGCAGCAGCAGCAGCAGCAGTGGCAGCAGTGGTGACAGGGACGGTGACAGTGGCACTACTAGCCATAGCGTATCATCCTCACCCAGCCCTCTGAAACCAGCCAAACCCCGGGCCTCGCATCCAGGTTCGGCAGCCCGGTGGGCGCCAATCAACGGCAGCTTCGTCCTTTCCTGGATCCCTCCTTCCAAGGCTCGGCTCCAAGCCAACATCTCCCAACCAGAGCTCTACCCGGTTCTCTTAGACGTGATTCGTTACAATGAAGAAGCTCAACTCACCGCCGCTAAAGCGGGGCTAGAGCCTCCCAAGGCGTGGAGAGGGCCGGCGTGCCCGGTGTTTGAGTTTGGGTTCGAGCGGTTCCCTGGGATTGGGTCGTGCTGGGAGGCGGGGATTGCGGATGAGAAGCGTGCGGCGACGCGGCCGCCTGTGAACTGCAAGGGGGTGGACCCGACTTGCATTCAGAAGAACGACCTGCTGCCCCATAACAAGTGGTCCGCTCAGGTGAGAGATGCGGGGGAAGGATGGAGCGGGGGTGGGGGGACAGGGGATGGGAAACGCCGAGCCTCAAATCTCTCCCTAGGCGTGGAGAGGGCCGGTGTGCCCGGTGTTTGAGTTTGGGTTCGAGCGGTTCCCTGGGATTGGGTCGTGCTGGGAGGCAGGGATTGCGGATGAGAAGCGCGCGGCCACGCGGCCGCCTGTGAACTGCAAGGGGGTGGACCCGACGTGCATTCAGAAGAATGACCTGCTGCCCCATAACAAGTGGTCCGCTCAGGTAGGTGAGGGGAGGGTAAGGATGAAGGGGGGTTGGGGGACAGGGGTTGGGGATTGGATTGGCTGATGACATGTTATGTGATCTGCAAGGGATTGGACCCGACGTGCATTCAGAAGAACGACTTGCTGCCCCATAACAAGTGGTCCGCTCAGGTGAGGAAGGGGAGGGGATGAATGAAGGGGGTTTGGGGGACAGGGGTTGGGAATGGGATTGGCTGGGTGAGGTGCCCTGTGAACTGCAAGGGGATGGACCCAAAGTGCATTCAGAAAAATGATTTGCTGCCACATAACAAGTGGTCCGCTCAGGTGGGTGGGGGGAGGGGAAGAATGAAGGGGGGTTAGGGCACAGGGGTTGGAAATGGGTTTGGCTGATGCAATGGTTTTTCTGGGGAGGGGTGAGGTGGGGGGTTTAGGGTTTAGGGGATGGAGGGGAAGGTATAGGGGGTTGGCTAGGTGAGGTACCCTGTGGACTGCAAGGGGATGGAGCCAACATGCATTCAGAAGAATGACCTGACTGACTGGCTGCTGATCCTCCTCGCCTGCTGCTACTCACGAGTCTCATTCCCCTCTCTGGCGTTCCTCTCAACAGGTGCTGGTGCTACGGAATGTATATATAAACGTGGTGGGGCAGGTGTTCAACTCAACGCACATATTCGACCACAACGCGTGTGCAGGCAGCCCCAACATCACGGTCACGCTCCCCTTCCGCTACACGGCCAACCGCACGCGTGTCACCCACTTCAAAGAGCTCGTCTCCCTCGTCGACTGGTTCGCCTGGCCCACGTGCGCCATACCGCTCTTCACCGCTCTGCACCACCCCTCCCTCCCTCCCCGCACCCCTCCCCTTCCATCGTACCCCATATCCCTGCAGGTGCTAGTTCTCCGTAACGTGTATATAAATGTGGTGGGGCAGGTGTTTAATGCAACACATATATTCGACCACAACGCGTGCGCCGGCAGTCCCAACATCACGGTCACCCTGCCCTTCCGCTACACGGCCAACCGCACGCGTGTCACCCACTTCAAGGAGCTCGTCTCCCTCGTCGACTGGTTCGCCTGGCCCACGTGCGCCATACCGCTCTTCACCGCTCTGCACCACCCCTCCCTCCCTCCCCGCACCCCTCCCCTTCCATCGTACCCCGTATCCCTGCAGGTGCTAGTTCTCCGTAACGTGTATATAAATGTGGTGGGGCAGGTGTTTAATGCAACACATATATTCGACCACAACGCGTGTGCCGGCAGTCCCAACATCACGGTCACCCTGCCCTTCCGCTACACGGCCAACCGCACGCGTGTCACCCACTTCAAGGAGCTCGTCTCCCTCGTCGACTGGTTCGCCTGGTCCACGCGCGCCATGCTGCTCGACCTCATACCGCTCTTCATCTCGCTGCACCGCATTCTGCCAGCCATGAGGGGAGTGCCGGTGGCTGTGGGGCACAGGCGGCCGCACGTGAGGAATGGGTTGGAGCAGCTGTGCTCGCTGGGAGCGGTGGACGTGCTGGGAGTGCAGGTTGACAGGATGAACGTGCACGTGGTGAAGGCCAAGGACCTGTTCTTTGCAGAGAAGCTTGTCATTGTGAGTTGGGCATAGTGGGGATACGAGGGGAATGGGTTGGAGCAGCTGTGCTCGCTGGGCACAGTGGACGTGCTGGGAGTGCAGATGGATAAGATGAACGTGCACGTTATCAAGGCAAAGGACCTGTTCTTCGCTGAAAAGCTTGTCATTGTGAGTTGGTGAACGTGCATGTCATCTAGGCAAAGGACCTGTTCTTTGCAGACAAACTCGTGATTGTGAGTGGGGCACAGTGGGGATAGAGGGGAACGGGTTGGAGCAGCTGTGCTCGTGGGAGCGGTGGATGTGCTGGGAGTGCAGGTTGACAGAATGAACATGCACGGGGAGGGGGATAGACCGATGGGCGTGCAGGTGGATAGAATGAACGTGCACGTGGTGAAGGCCAAGGACCTTTTCTTCACTGAAAAGTTTGTCATTGTGAGTTGGGCATAGTGGGCATAAGAGGGGAATGGGTTGGAGCAGCTGTGCTCATTGGGTGCGGTGGACGTGCTGGGCGTGCAGGGGGACAGGATCGACGTGCATGTCGTCAAGGCCCCAACCTGTTCTTTGCGGAAAAACCCGTCATTGTGAGTGGGTGTTGGCCCTAGGAAGGGAGGGGTTGAGGGGGAAAGGGTGTGTGCGTGGGTATTGCCCAGTTCCACCACTCTGTACTCTTACCCAGTGCACCGCCTCAATTCCCCCCTTCCCTCTCCCCCTGTTCTCCCCTGTATTTTCCCCCTTTACTTCACCTCATCTCATTCCGTCCCTCTCATGTCTCCCCTCCCCTGCTCTCCACTCCCCTCCCCTCGCCTCCTCTCCCCTCCCCCCGTCCCTATCGCAGCCACTCCATCAGCGGTGTGGGGAGCCCAGCCGCTCGCTTTGGCACTATCTGCGCATGAGACACCTGCTGCCTTCCGGGGGGCTGCCCATTTTCAATCCAGGTGAGAACAGGGCGGGTGAACCAAGAGGAAAGGATACGGTGGGGTGGGGGAGGGGGTGTGAGGAGGGAGGGGGAGTTAGGAGGAGGATTGTTGAGTGGGGGAAAGGAATGCTTGACTTGACACGATTGGGAAGTTAAGAGGTCTCAAAGACTGAGAGCAGGCCGGGTGAACCAGAGAGTGCTGGGGTTGAGAAAACAGGTGCGGTGGGAGTGCTTGTGGGAATGGCAAGTGCTTTTTTTACTGAGAAGCTTCTTATTGTTCAAGATATGGGAATGAAGTTGCGCCCTGTTACGGTATGTAGTGTATCGATACACTACACTGTCTACACTGAACAGTATTTCATAAACGCAGAATTATGAACAGTCCAGTGAATAATCCAAGCCAAGTAAGCTCAACACATGTGTCTTTTGCCACTCATCCCTTATGCTTCCGCCCACCAGACTAAACGTCCAGGTTCAATGGATCTGCCACCTGCCCTACACGCCACACTGGGTGGTGCTGCTGGGGTGGAAGGCATCACGCCACACTGGGTGGTGCTGCTGGGGTGGAAGGCATCTCTCCTCCAAAGCCTCAAACTACACGAGCACCTCACCCGCCTCTTCCCCCCCGAACGAGTCGTCATCTACCGGGAAGGCTCCATCTCCCTCCCGCGCCGTAAAGACCTGCTCAACCAAGCATTCCTTGCCCCCATCCCCACGTCTCGCCCCACCCTCTCCCTCCCTCTCCCCCTTGACCCCTAACCCCCTTCCCCCTGCCCTCCAACAGACTGGACGTCCAGGTTCAAGGGATCTGTGACTCCTCCCTACACACCACATGCATACGCGCCAGGCAGCAACTGGGTGGTGCTGCTGGGGTGGAAGGAGCAGCGGGCATCTCTCCTTCAAAGCCTCAAACTACAGAGCACCTCACACGCCTCTTCTCCCCGGAGCGAGGCGCCATCTACCGCTATGGCTCCATCTCTTTTGTACGCTCAAAAATACATTTTGTATTGATTCATTCATTCCTTGCCCCCACCACCCTGCCTTGCCCCACACTCCCCCCTCCTCCCACCAGACTGGACGTCCAGGTTCAACGGATCTGCCACTCCACCGTACACACCCCATGCCTACGCCCCAGGCAGCAACTGGGTGGTGCTGCTGGGGTGGAAGGAGCAGCGCGCATCTCTCCTCCAAAGCCTCAAGCTACACGAGCACCTCACCCGCCTCTTCCCCCCCGAACGGGTCGTCATCTACCGGGAAGGCTCCATCTCCCTCCCCCGCCGAAAAGACCTGCTGAACCGCGCGCTCCTCATGGTATCAGTGCACGATAATATCCTGGCCGATATTGTCTTCATGCCGCCCGGATCCGCCGTGCTGGAGATCCGCCCGGTGGAGAATCCGGACGTGATCTTTCACCAGCTGGCGGATATCTGCGAGATTGAGTATTATTTGGCGTTTTGTGAGGGGGGGAAGGCGGTGGGGAGCGCGGCGGGCGGGTGGGCTGGGAAGCCGGTGGAAGGGAATTTGGTGGCTAGGGATCCTAAGGGGGTGCAGAAAATGTTAACGGATATTTCCAGGAAGGTGTTTGCGCGAGCAAATGCAATGAGACGGAAAGGTGGGTAGGCAGGCAGTCAGCTCATGGGGAGTGCCGGTGGGGTGGGGAGTGCGGCGGGGGGGTGGGCTGGGAAGCCGGTGGAGGGGAATTTGGTGGCTTAGGATCTAAAAGGGGTGCAGAAAGTTGACGGGTATTTCTAGGAAGGTGTTTGCACGAGCAAATGCAATGAGACGGAAAGGTGGGTAGGCAGGCAGTCAGCTCATGGGGAGTGCCGGTGGGGAGTGCAGTGGGTTGAAGGGAGCTTGGTTGCCAAGGACCCTAAGGGGGTCCAGAAGATATTGACTGACACATATTTCCAGGAAGGTGTTTGCGCGAGCGAATGCGATGAGACGCGAGGGAGGTTAGACATCTGGTATGTGCTGTGGGGTGGGGTGGGCTGGGCTGGGCTGGGCTGGGCTGGCTTGCAGGCAAGGTAGGGTATGTATGTAGTCGGAGCCATAAACTCGTGCTTCTGTCTGCCTATTTTTTCATTGAATGGGGAGGGGAAACCGGTACCGTACCAGGTTTTCTTATCCCGTAAGTGTGACAGACTCTATTGATTGATGGAATGGAAGTGATCAGCTCAGCTCACCGTAGGAGGGAATGACATGGCCAGCACAGCAAGCATGCTTGCTGGCTGGCGGTTTCAAGCAGCAGTCTCATCTTCAAGGTTAGAGCAAATGTGCCCTCACTCGTTCATTTTAAAACTGGGTGAAGTTCACACAGAGAGCACGTGACTCACACCCCCGCCCGCCCCTCACCATGTGCTATGCAACCACATTCACAGGGGCATATTCAGCACTCGGAATACACTTTTTACATTAGTAGGGGCACATTTCACATTTCTCTTACCGTACACTTCTAGGTAGGCTTCACATATTTGATCCGGAAAGGGTAGAAGCTACAGCCTGCCAAGGCTAAGTGAGAGCTCTGGGAAAGAAGGCTCATAAAATCCGGGCAGGTTCAGCGAGGACCCTCGGGCAGCTGGAGCACACCCTTCCCCTAGAAGAGCCTCCCCCATAAGGCCCTCCCCTTTGAGGTTGTTCTTCCCCATAACGCCCTTCCCCGCAAGCCCCCTTGCTTCAAGGCCCAGGCCATCTCCTGTGTGTCGCTGTTCCTTAGGGAAGTCTGTCCTGGTGCCGTGAAGAGGGCCGAGAGAGCAGGACAGGGAGAGGGAGGAGGGCGAGAGCGACAGAGCGTCGATGAAATTCCTCTCCGTGGGCTGCGCTTCGCCTGGGGTGGTCGTCGTCCTTTCCCTCGCAGCGGGTGCAGGAGCAGCAGCAAAAGCAAGAGCAGGAGCAAGAGCAAGAGCCGGAGCAGGAGCAGGAGCGGGAGTAGGAGCGTTGCTGCTGTTGGAATGGCCGAGGATGTTCGAGAGCATAGACGGACCAGACCCGTTACACGTTACCATGGTGATCAGAGAAGCACTGCTCCCGGGATCTCTCTTGAGCCGCTTCCCTGAATTGAGTGTGTGGAGGGGAGGAGGGGTAGTGGTTGTGTGTGAGGGGAGTGGAGGACGGGGGAGATTTGGTGACGCTGGCTGGTGAAATCGGCCCGCCGCTCCCTGCTGCTGCCATTGGTGGCTTTGCTGCTGTGGCTGCTGTTGTGACTGCTGTTGTCGCGTTACCTGCAGCTGCGGCTGCTGCTGCTGCTGCTGCTGCTGCTGCCGCCTACTCAAGCTGTGCTGGGGATGGTTGTGCGGCGAGGAAGCATGATTGCCAGGCTGAACGGAATCCCAGGGGGTCAACGGAGGCTCCGTGCACAAGAGCAGCTGAGGTGGCGGCTCCTGATTGGACAGCATCTGAAGCAAGGGCATCCGATTCTCGCCACTCCCCTCATCCATCTTGGAATTACCACTCTGTCGTTTCGCGTGCGATCCCGGCCATTGGGCCGCCTCAATGCCGCATTGCTGCGGCTGCGAGGAACACAGAGCGTGATGGGTCTCACCGCACTGAGAATATGCGACATCACCTCCAACGGATGCTTTGACTCCCAATGTCATGGCAGCTCCTCCCGACGCATCGTGGCGACCTGAGCTGTTAAGCGTTGACTGATCCAGCGGCATCATGGGACGACCCATCAGCACCTGCTGCTGCTGCTGAGCTTGCTGGTGCGGAGGAGAGCGCATGGAAAGCGCCTGGGTGTCGTTCCCTAGAGCGGAAAACGTTGCTAAATGTTCCGCCTGCCCACCGTTCCGCCCCGATCTTAGCTGTGGCGTCTGTTGCTGCACTAAAAACTGATGTTGCTCCTGCTGCCGCCACACGCCGCCGCCACCGGCGGAAGCCGCAGGCGCCACCATCATGCCGCCTTGCGGCGGCGGCGACGGCGGCGGCACCGCGGCCGCGGCGGCGGCGGCGGTAGCGGAAGCAGCAGCAAGGAAGCGGTTGCGGGAGAGGCGGGCGGAGAGCAGCGGCGGAGGGTGGTTGTGAGCATTCTCGAACCAAGTCTTCTCCTTCATTGCCGTCTCTGCCGACAACTCTCCTCCGGGACCGTCGCCGGCGGAGTCCGTCCGGGTCGCCGCCATGGCGGCGCCCGCGGAACCTTGATCATGGCCCGCGCACGCCGCCCGGCCGGCGGGCGCGGGGAACGAGCTGCGCGCCCAGAGATCTTGGGACGGCGATCCCGAGAGTTTGTCGTTTGGGGAGATGGATGCGGCGGAGAGGCCTATGATGCTCCTTGAATTGGGGGACGCGGGTTTTCTGTTGTCGCTGGCCGTGCTGACTTCCGGAGACAGCGCGCCGCCGGCGCCGGCGCCGTCGCTGCCGCCGCCACTGGATGCGGCGCGGCCGTTCAAGCTGCCGGCGCGGGGACGCTTGCGCGGCTTGTCGACGATTTTCTTCGCGGGGCACCCGTGGGAGTCTTTCTGCGCGCACGCATAGTAGAATCTGCGGCGAAACACGGGCGCCGGAGGCACAAAAAGCAGCAATGCGACGTTTAATGCCAACTTGGCAGAACTACAACTCAGAGATTATCCCAAATAGCGTAGTACTGCTGGATGAGACACATGATTGTTCGCCGGATTTCTCGTTTCCGAGCGGAAAATTGTTCAACAATCGCGAGCTGTGGAGGAAAATGACGTTGACGTTATGGATCCTCACCGTTTGACGTTGACGGACGCGAGAACCTTGTGGCCGTACTTTTTCCACGAGTAGCCCGTGCAATTACTTGCATTGCGAGAATCGGAATGGGTCGCGAAGGCGGTTTCCATCGATGGGTACTACGGATCGTCGCGATACTCGAAACCGTGCAAATGCTGATGTTTGTTGTAAAACACAGTTCACAGTTACTACTTTAGGGGTCTAGCTGTAATGAAGTAGTTGTTCAGTGTCAGGGAGGTGGCCTACAGGTAGAAAAAACAAAGGTTGAACCTGCAGTAATTGCGTGAGTTGGATGCTTGCATTGATTTCCCCTGCATTCTCACTTTCTAAGCGACAGCACCAAATATTCAGCTCTCACTTTCTACAAACGGACTGATGAAACAGAAGGGTGTGCCAGCCAGCACCACCGCGTGGGGTGCGATCGGAGGAAAGAGGCAGGATAGGCTTGCGGATGCGCTGTGATGTGCAGTGCGGAGCGGACTCCGCAGTGGTGGTGTGCTGCACTGCTGCGGAGCAAGAGGCGCAACCAGAGGGTGCCAGGGCGCGCATAGACCAGGCCGGATTGGCCTACGACCCAACTACACGACGACGGGTCCTGGCGGGCGGGCGGACTGACCTCCCCCGATGCCAGTCGCCGACGGAAATGATCGCTCGCTCGCACGCGCGCATCCCAAAGCGATCGTGAGGCTTGGACGGCATTCACACATTTCATGGTCTAGGCGCGTCGCGCATTTGAGAAAAAGGGGTGCGAGGGGGGATTGGGGGAAAGTCGGGGGAAGTGGAGGAAGCACAACTGCGGAGAGGGAGTGGAGAGGCGGCTTCAACAACTGTGGGCCAGCTGTTTGGTCCAGAGTCCAGACTGATGAAAATAATGTTTTCAAGAAGGCGTTGTACATGTTAGGATGTCCAAGTCCTGCAAATTCTGCCCTGTGGCTTTTGATTTGTAGGACTGAGCAAAATAATGTTTCCAAGAAGGCGTTGTACATGTTAATGGACTTTTAGCACGGTAGCACGGCAGTGTTTTTACCGAGTGTGATCCGTTGAATTCCGATACTGACTGTTCCCTTGTGGTGGTGGTGATCGCTGTGCTCCCCAAACATCACACAACCAGAAGATTTGACCAGGAAGCAAGGACAATTTGTTATAACTAAGCAATGCCTGATATTTCGAATGGGACGACGAAATTATGCCCTTCGCTGTTCTCTGGATGGCCGCAACCCCTTTCTACCGGATTTTAACAAAGCTGGCAAAAGTTCAGCCGATTTGTTGCAACCCAGCTCGCTTTGTCCGTCACAATTTCAAAGGCGCTGATTTTGGGTAACCGACCGGACCGAGCCTGGAATCAGAGCAACCAGGAAAATGGTCATGACTCGAGCCGCGAAGCTTTCAAAACTCAAAAGTTGGGCAGAATGCACCTTCGATCGACCTGGGGAGGGAAACAGGTGGAACCTTGGTGGGGGGGAATGGGGGGGAAGGATGGGGGATCGGGGGATTTCCGAGTGCGCAGAACAAACTCAAGATGGGTGCCAAGCTCGGAGGCGGGAAAGCCGGGTGAAGAGCAAGCGGTCTTGTCAAAGACGACACGACAACACATGAATGACGCGGCAAATGGGAGAGGAGAGGAGGACGCACCCTCAGCTGGGCGCCGCAGACCCCAAGCGCCAAACGGTGTTGCTAACCTGTGGAGGCAGTTGCGGTTGAACAGATGGGACTAAAAGACAGCTTCGAGCCACCCCTTTATTTTAGGCCCCGCAAAGCAGCTTTCAGCAGAACAGCGTCTTGGATGGCTGACCCTTCGAATATAAGACAAAGGTCAAAGAAGAGCGCTTTTTTTATCACCCACAATTATATTTTCCCCAAAATTAGAATTCACTACATTACCCCAATATATATTTTTTTAAATTCTGCACTCCAATTCCTTCAGTTGCGCAAGTTCTGGTTTTGTGCCCTTCTAGCCACGTCGACACAGAGTCACAGAAGTCGACAGGGAGGTGCCATGGCAGCTAGTGCAACATTCATTCAAGTATTTTTTCGATGAGCAGAATGAACCGGAAAGGAGTTGTTGATGTGATTCCATTCTCTGTTGCGAATCTGTTCTTCAAGGTTGCCAGTTGGTCATTCAATGGCTGTAGCCACTCATCCTCGTGCATCGCGGCACACCCCGGCGGATTGCCGTAAAAGCTATTACAGTCGATGCCCAAACCGTGCAGGCAAAATTGCCTTTCACGTTCCAGAAACCTTGCATCCGTGGGTTTCTTGCCGCGAAGTTGCACCTACGTTACAAGCACGTCGACCAATAAGAGCCACAGAAACGGAAGTCTGACTGATGAGACTGCAGTCAAACAGTCAACGGTGAGTTACAAAATTTTTATATAAGCCCTTTTTGCCCGATGCGAATTGCAGAATCGCGAAACCACCGCGAAATGCAGAATCACTTATACGCACATGGGGTAGGCCAAAGTTGGGGGGCTCAACCGGGCATCATGTGTATGGGTCTGGTCATAGATCCGGACCGTGAGAAAATCAAATGTGCCCGCAATAAGTGTACTAATTTCAAAAGCTGAGCGCATATGCCAGTTTTTTTACGCACATCTTACACTTTTGCATTGATTTATGGCATTCAGGAATAAACTTCAGGAATATTTTTTTATTGTTTTTTATAGCATGTCTGATTTCAAACAGATCTAACCTTTGTTAATAGATTTTAACCTTTTTTAACCTTTGTCTGATCTAACCTTTGTAGAATCATAACTACATTGAAGTTTCGATATTAGCTGGAGCCAGTTATTGGCTGTAGTGGATCCTGGCAGTAGGTGGAACTCTCTATTCCTAGCCGCTGGTGTAAAATTTCTTGATATTCTCGTGTCGTCACTGAACTATGGCACACTGTGCGAGCTTCTCGGCAGCGAAACCCCGAGCGTGCATCTCACCACCGCCACCGCCACCGCCGCGATTGGCGCCACCGTCGCCACAATCGCTTGCGACGCGACGTTTTCCCAGATCCAGTCCCTCGTCGCATCCACCAGCAAGCACAGCATCTTGTATCGCGGCAACCCATATCGCGGATTCCCTCGGTCTCACTGCTTGGTCTTCTGTCCCCGCGTCGCCGCCGGTCACAGACTCAAAGTGTTGCGCATTCCACGTGACGTTTTCCGCCGCCGCCTCCGCTGCCGCCGTCTCACGTTTACAGCGAAACGGAAACCGTTTCGCAAACGCACACAGCCTTTCGTCTGGCCGCTCACGAACGTTCGATTCGCCACGTCGGGGAGTGCGGTTGGCCGTCCGATGCGGGGCGGCCGGAAATGCTGGTCGTCAAGCCGCCCCGTTTGCGGCCAGAGCTGCCGCCGAGCCGGCAAGCGCGCGGGGGTGGGGGATACGGGGAGGTGAAGAAGGGTTTAGATGGGGAGGGGACGGCGGAGGGATTCGGGGAGGGGAAGGAGCAAGAAGATTGGGAGCGGGTGGGTTCGCGCAGGGGAGACGGAGAGTAGGAGGCGGAGGAGGCGGAAGAGGTGGAGGAGGCGGGGGCGAGGGGAAGGCGAGGGCGGTGGGGGGCGCAGTGGCGGAGGGCGCAGCGGCGGGGAGGGCGGCGGAGGAGTTGGTGCTGGAGGTGCGGCGAGTGAGCTTCCAGCCGCACGGGTCCGACAGCTGGCTGCTCTCTGACGTGTCGCTCTCCCTGCCCAAGAACAGGTCAGGTCACTCCCTCCCTCCCTTCAGAAACAGGTCAGGTCACTCCCTCCCTCCCTTCAGAAACAGGTCAGGTCACTCCCTCCCTCCCTTCAGAAACAGGTCAGGTCACTCCCTCCCTCCCTTCAGAAACAGGTCAGGTCACTCCCTCCCTCCCTTCAGAAACAGGTCAGGTCACTCCCTCCCTCCCTTCAGAAACAGGTCAGGTCACTCCCTCCCTCCCTTCAGAAACAGGTCAGGTCACTCCCTCCCTCCCTTCAGAAACAGGTCAGGTCACTCCCTCCCTCCCTTCAGAAACAGGTCAGGTCACTCCCTCCCTCCCTTCAGAAACAGGTCAGGTCACTCCGCTCTCTCCGTCCTCCCTGCCCAAAGATAGGTGCGCTTCCTACTTCTCACACCCATCCGACAGCTGGCTGCTCACTGACGTGTCGCTCTCCCTGCCCAAGAACAGGTCTCTTCTTCAAACCCTTGTTGGTGTTGCTTTTGAGAATTCCCACCAGCTTTGAGACGTCTCAAAACACGGCTGCTCACCCACACTGATGTGTCGCTCTCCCTCTCCAAAAATAGGTTTTCTCCCTCCGCCCTCCCGCCCTCCCGCCCTCCCGCCCTCCCGCCCTCCCGCCCTCCCGCTCTCCCTGCCCTACCCGCCCCTTTCCCCCCCCTCCTCCCTCACTGGCCCTTCCGCCCTCCCTGCCTCCCCACCCTCCCCGTTCTCTCCCTCCATGCATGCCACTTGCAGCAGCTGCTAGAGGGAAAAACGGATGGGCAATGCTTCGTTGCGTCTCGGATGCTTCTCCTGTGATGCCTCTGCTATGCTTCCTGCCTGTTCCAATCCCTCATCCCCTCCTGCACCTCCCCCTCTGCCACCCACCCTTGCCACCCACCCCTGCCACCCCCCTATGAGCAACAGCCTAGGGCTCATCTTTGGGCGCAGTGGAGGGGGCAAGACCACTCTCCTGCAGGTATGCCTGCTGCCTTTGGCGTTTTCTCAAGCTGCCTGCCCGGATCCTCGCTGTCACTTCTCTACACTCACCGACATACACGCATCTCCATCCTCTCATTCATTTCCTGCCACGCCTTCTCTTCCCTCACCATCAGCTCCTCTCAGGTCTCACCACTGCCACTCAAGGCACCATAGCCATGCCAGCACCGTCCGCCCCGTCCTCCCTCTCACCGCCTTCGCCCGCCCTCACGCCTCTCTCCCGCGCTGAACTCTCTGAGCGAGTCGGCATTGTCTTTCAGTTTCCCGAGCGGTGAGTTCCTTCCCCTTGTGTGCTCGCCCCCTTGTGTGTTCCTCCCTCTCACCTCCTTGCCCTGCATTCATCCCTCTCTCCCGCGCTAAGCTCTCTGAGCGAGTCGGCATTGTCTTTCATATCCCTGAATGGTGAGTCGCCCCTTTTGCCCCTCCGCCCCTTAGGTGCCGCATTTCCCCTTTGCCATGCTTCTGCTGCTGCCCCCTTCTGCTGTCCCGCTCTCTCTGTTCTTTCTCCCTCACTACCCTTCTTCTCTCCCTCCACCCCATTTTTCCCAGTCTGTTTGTCTCCTCCCTTCATTACAGTCGTTTTTTTCTCTCTCCCCTCCTGCCAACTACCCTCCCATCTCATTACTCCGGAAATTGTCCCTTTCCCTCTGCCCAACCGTCACCCTCCCCCCCCCCTTCCCCCTCTCCTGCCCAGCCCCAGCTACTTCCTAACGGACAGTGTGTTGGCAGAGCCCACCTTCGGCTGGCCCTCTTACTGCCTTCCCCTCCCTCCTCCCCACCTCAACCCCGCCCCTTCTCCTCCCCCCCTCCCCCACACAGCTACTTCCTAACAGACAGTGTGTTGGCAGAGCCCACCTTCAGCTGGCCCTCGCAGGTGGAGGACAGTCCCCTCAGGCAGGCAGGGCGTGGAACCCAATACCCCCCTTCCCTCCCTGTTCCCCGTGCTCCCCCTCTCCCCCCCCCCCCCAGCTACTTCCTAACAGACAGTGTGTTGGCAGAGCTCACCTTCGGCTGGCCCTCGCGAGTGGAGGACATTCCCCTCAGGCAGGCGCTGGCTGCACGCGTGCAGGCTGCTCTCATAGCGGTGAGAAGTGGTGCGGTGGGGTGAAGTGGGGTGGGGCGCGGCGATGGGCTCTCGAGTGGAGGACATTCCCCTAAGGCAGGCGCTGGCTGCGCGCGTGCAGGCTGCTCTCATTGCGGTGAGGAGGAGCAATGAGGTGGAGTAGGGTGAGGTGGAGTAGGGTGAGGTGGAGTGGGGTGAGGTGGAGTAGGGTGAGGTGGAGTGGGGTGGGGTGGAGTGGTGTGGGGTGGGGTGGAGTGGGTGTGCAAGAAGGCAATGCACTGCAGTGACACGAGTGGAGGACATTCCCATGTTTTCCCCCCCTTCACACACGTGGAGTGGAGCTAATGGGCTTGGTGTTGGGCACCAATCCGCGTGCTCTCAGCTCGTCCTGCACCCCAACATCCCTCCCTTTGCCTCTTCCATACCCCCCCTCTCCCCCCCCCCTCTCTCTCTCCCCCCCCTTCCCCGCATCACAGGTGGGGCTAATGGGAGTGGCTCTAGACACCAACCCGCGTGCGCTCAGCGGGGGCAACCAGCGCCGCCTCGCCCTCGCCATCCAGCTCGTCAGTGCCTCTCCTTACCTCTCACTGCCTCTCACTGCATGCATGCATGCTTTCGTGCGTCCGTGCACTGGAGTGATAGTGTAGTGCACGGCCCGCACCCACCTTGTCGTCATCCTCGTCTCGCTCTCACTGTGCGCTCAGCGGGGGAAACCAGCGCCGCCTCGCCCACGCCATCCAGCTCGTCAGTGCCTCTCCCTATCCGTATGGTTATGCCTGTCGAAAGGCCACGCAAACGCCCACCACCCTCGTCAGTGCTCTCCGCGCCTTTTGAGTCAGCTCAGTTCACGATGCCATGCCATGCTTAGTCTAGAGTCGTGCGGAAAGTCAGCTCAGTCCCGTCTCGATGAATGCTTCGATCATCCGCTGCTTCCATTCTCCCTCCCCTTGCCGCTCCTTGTTCCAACCCAACTGCCCTTACCTGTTCCTCAGGTTCGGATGCCGGAGCTGCTACTGCTGGACGAGCCTCTTGCTGGGCTCGGTACGTGTGCCATGAGTATTGAGCCTGAGGGAATGGCTTATCATAGCACCTGATCTGCGATGATTGATGATCAAAGTCCCTTATGTGCCTGTCTCTTTGAAAGCCATGAAACGCTTAGAGTGCTTCATAGGCTGTTATGAGTCTTGTGTTTGCTCCTTCGATTGAAGACGGCCAGATCGAACAAACTGTAGGCTTCAATCATGAAAGAATCATGGCTTTGTATAGAAGTTCACTTGGCGCCATGATTTTTTCAGTCTTCCTCCTCTCTCTCTTCTTTCTTGTCTTTTTCTTTTTGTTCTTGTTTGTTTTTTTTTTTCCTTCTCCCTTCGTGTCCCGTGATCCCCTCTTCCTCCCCCAGATTGGAGGGCGAGGGCGGATGTGGTGAGGCTGTTGGTGGCTCTCAAAAGAGAGCGCTTTTGAGACGTCTCAAAACACCTCTTTCTTATGTTCATGTGTGTGTCCTTGGAACCCCTCTTCCTCCCCCAGACTGGAGGGCGAGGGCGGATGTGGTGAGGCTGCTGGCAGCACTTAAAAGGGAGCGCTCCATCCTTGTTGTCAGCCACGACCTCAGGTGATTCTTCAGGGTCTTTCATGAAACGAGTGGTAATTTCTGGTGATGCTTCTTATGACCAAAGATGTTCGTCATCCCCAGATTCACCATCTCTTTCATGTAATTCCTCAGGCAGGAATTCAGTCCCTCTGTTGTCGGCCTCCTGTTTCCCACTCGTTATTGTCACGTTCGTTCTGCGTCTCTCTGCAGGGAGTTAGCCCCATTAGTGGATCGCTCGTGGCGGATGCAGATGGGGGGGAGGTTAAGGGAGGAGTCGCTACCAGCCGCCGTGTCAGACGATGAGGGGGATGTGAATTTCCCCTGGCGAGCGTGACGGGAATGCTATATGGAAAGAGGAATAGGGAGGGGATTGGATGGAATCACAGCGGCACGTTTTGCCGGGTGCATGTTTCTACAAGATCAAACAACCAGCGAAGGGTCAACCTGCTGTGCATTTCTATGCCTAGGTTGAAATAAGGATGAGAAATTGAAGGGTTTTGACAAGTCGCAGCTTTATGTAAGGGGTGAATTGCGCTTGTTGAAGAAGAGCTTGACATGGTGTCTGCAGTAAATCCGAGAGTTGAGATGACTTGCATAATGCATTAAGGAATATGTAGAAATTTCCTGAAACAGTATGGTTTACGAAATAGCTATTCTGGCCAGTGATGGATACACACGACCAGAGCATTTTTCAGTAACGCGTATGCACACATATTGTCTCCACGAAGCGAATCTGTGGCAGTCAGTCCGGCGAGAAGGAAGCACCAAATCTCCGACTCGTCTCACGTCCCGCGTCGACTCGCGCCATACCTAGCGTCCTTGTTGTCAGCGGCACCTTTTGGGCCGCCACTAAAGTCGTCTCTCGCCGTCGTACCTCCAGTCAGCGCCACCAGTCACGCGTGGTGGTCGCTTTTGCGTTCATTTTGAAACGACCCAATCTGAACGAATTGATCGAACCTTGTTCTAATAAAATCCCGCCATGGACCAGTCGAAGCGCGATCCAACGGCGGGCGACAAGGAGGCCGTGGAGACGACGGGAATTGCGGCGGGCATTTCGGCGGCCAATGCGGCGGGCATTACCGCGGGTGCCGCGGAAAGAAACTCAGAGGGGGGCGAGCGGGCGGAGAGGGCCGCGGAGAAGGCGGAGGCGGAGGGAGGGGGCGGCGCGGTGGACGAGCTGAGGGCGCGCGTGGGCCGTCGGATGGCGAAGAAGATCAAGAAGGTGGTGGCGGCGGGCAAGGGCGACGCGAAGCACTACTACGACGTGTACGGCTCGCAGGTGCGGGCGGAGGGAGGGGGCGGAGAGGGGCAGCAGAGGAGCAGCAGAGGCCCTTGTGAAGCACGACTCCCCTCTCTCTCGCCCACTCCCCCCGTCTCACCCCCCTCCCCCCCTCCACTCCCCCCATCTCCCGCCTTTGTCCCCCATTCCACCCCCTCCGCCTTTCCCCTCTGGTCCCACTCTGCCCTCAGGCGCGGGCAGAGCTGGAGCTACGCCCGCCGGTGGCCAAGGGCGCAGGGCAGCGCGCCAAGCCTCTCAGCTCCCCCCGTCTCTTCTCTGCCATTCCTTCCCCCTTTTTTCTCCCTTCAGGCACGAGCAGAGCTGGAGCTGCGCCCGCCTGTAACCAAGGGCGCAGAGCAGCTCGACTTTTGAGACGCCTCAGAGGTCCTTCCTCTCCCCCCTTACTCCCTTCCTCCTCGTCCCCGCCACCACAGGCGCGTGCAGAGCTGGAGCTGCGTCCGCCTGTGGCCAAGGGCGCAGAGCAGCGCGCCAAGCCGCTCAGCTTCACTGTGAGTGCCTCTCTGTAACATATGCTCTGGGAATGAATTAGGGGTTCGGGGTTGAGGGTTTTGGGTGCAAGCGGTCTGGGGTTTGAGGGGTTTGGGTTGAAAGGGCGATGGATTCGGGGATGAGATGAGACGAAGCAGATAGCTCGTGAGATGCCCTCAGCACATCCTGACTCGCCGAGTCTCCATCCAGCCAGCCTGACTAACTGGTTCCATGCCCCTCTGGTCTGCCTCGCCTGGTTTGGCAGGATGTGCAGGATTTGATTCTCTGGGTGCTTACAGGGGAGGTCAACCCGCAGTGGGCATTCATCAAGGTGGGCGGCATGTATATTTCTACATGCACATGTGTATATACATGAATTTCTATATTACCCGTATGTCTTCCATTTTCCTTCTCCTCCTCACAGGCCACTGACGTCTTCCCAATGATGTGATCTCTGACTCCTTAAACCTTGTTCTGCTGTTCGTCCGCGTAAGCATTCACATCTGGCCCTGCGCAAACGCAGCACAGCCGCATGCACTCGCTTGCACTTGTAAAGTGGTACCACCTAGCGTACCACTTTGTGCGAATGCACGCATACCACTTTGCACTACCTAGCACACCAATTCTGGTTCTGAGTCCTCGCGTTGAATTACGAGACACGTGCCTTTCCTAAACCTTTGTAAAATATATTTCCATTCCTCATCTCCTTGCCCTCTTTCCCCCCTTCTCTCCTCGCCCGCTCTGCAGAACATGCCGCTGATATCAAGGGCGGTGGTGTTGCTGGTGCCAGAAATAATTTCCTTTCCCCTGTTTCCGTTTCCCCCCTGTCCCCCCTTTTCTCCTTTTCCCCCTTTCGCCTTTTTTCCCCCCTTTCCACTTTGTTCCCCCTTTCCCCCTTTTCCCCTTTTTCCCTCTTTCCCCCTTTCCCCCCATTTCCGCCTTTCCCCACCCTTTCCCCCAATTTTCCCCATTCCCCCCTCTTTCCCCCTCTCCCCTTTCACCCTGCAGAACAAGCCACTGGTATCAAGGGTGGTGGTGCTGCTGGTGCCAGGAATCGATTCCCATACCTTCCACTCCCGCCCGGACCTCTTCCCGAACCTGCACCGCTGCTTCGGCGGCAAATCTTTGCCGTTGAAGGCTGTGAGGTAAGGAAGCATGTCCTCCTCTCGTGTCCTCACCCCATGCCCTTCCCTCACGCCCTCCCTTCATGCCCTCCCCTCACGCCCTCCCCTCATGCCCTCCCCTCATGTCCTCCCCACATGCCTCCCCTCATACCCTTCTGTCATGTTCTCCTTTCATGCCCTCCCTTCATGTACTTTCCTCGTATGATCTGCTCGTGTCCCCTCCCTCCTCCCCCCCTTCCCCTCGCTCTTGTTGCCCCATCAATATCACGTGTTCCCTTTTCCTCTCTTGTTCTCATGATCCAGTGCGTGCTCATCCCTCAAGCAGTGCTCTTCAACCCCCCCCACTCCTTCAACCCCACCTCTTATGCGTCCTCTTTCCCTTCCATCAGCCCGTCAGCAACGGTATCAGACACAATGAAGGCAATGTTTGCACGACCCGTTGCTCTCAAGGTGCTCTTCTTTCGACAGGGTGATGGGGGATTGATCATTGCCCCCTCACATCAGTAGCATGTATCGGCGCTTTTTCGTTCTGCTGTCTAAGAACAAGGAGAGAGCATGTAATCTGATGTAAATCGATTCAGACCCGATGGGGCCGCCCTCATCCTTATTTTCTTGCCATCTGCCGCGCATTATTCAAGCCTTTGCCACCCATTCGTTGAACTTCCCATGATTGTCTGCTTGATTGGCTATTATTGTTCGCCGGCCAGTTCTCGCTTCCCTGTCGATCATTATCTGCCTCTCTGCCGCCCGCCTTTCACCACTTTTCCACCCCCAGAAGAGCACCAGCTCGTCATCTGCCCAATCAGCAGCTGCCACGTCAGCACATGCGGGCGGCAAGACAGAAGCAGGTGTGAGAAACGGTGTGAGCTGCGAAAGCAAGGAGGGGACGAGTAGGGGTGCGCAAGTAGGTGAAGAGGAGAAGACGAGTGAGAAAGATAAGGAGGATGAGGATGAGGAAAAGGAGGAAGGGGAGGAGGAAGAGGAGGAGGGAGAGGTATTTGATTCTGAAAGTGAGGAGGAAGGAGGAGACGGAGGGGGAGAAGGGCAGGTGGGAATGGGGGAGGACGCAGATGGGAGAGACAAAACTGGAGGCAGTAGAAAGAGGAAGGCAGAGGTGCTGGGCGATGGGGAAGGGGAAGAAGATGAAGAAGAAGAAGAAAGGGAGGGGAGAAGCAGAAAGGCAATGAAGACAAGCCAAGAGGGGGCGAGGGGAGTGTGTGCAGCTGAAGGTCCCACCATACACACACTGGTGCCACCAGTCCCCTCCTCCCCATCCTCCTCCTCTCCCTCCTCCTCCCTGTCCTCCTCACTCCCCTTCAAGTCCAAGCCCCCTCTCCCTCCCGAGCACTACCTGCTGACGTGGCGCCAGCTGAAGGAAAACAATTTTCCCCTGCCTGTATCAACGGGCAGCAAGGGGCGGGATGGGCAGGATGGAAAAGAGGCTGCCCGGAAGCCAGGTGGCAGCATCTCACTTGCTGATGGCTCGGCTGTTCCCCCTCCAGGTCAGATTGCAACCTTTCCACCTCAGATTGCAAACTTTCCAGGTCACGTCTCAACAAGCCCATGTCAGTTCCCAGTAAATCCATGTCAGATTCTACTGATTCCAGCTCACGTTGAAGGGCAGGTTATTTAACTTTGAGTGAGCTCCATTCAGTCTCTGAGCTGCCTCACATCGCTCCTATCAACACGTCCACATGAGAAGGGCGCAGAAGCACGAACAGGGCCAAGAAGTACGTGTTGAGGTGATTTTTGAGGCGCCTCAAATGTCACCTCAATGCGAACAGGGTCAAGAAGTATATGCGGCAGGGCTCAATCCGTGTGTTTGCTGGCCTGTGCGCTGCATGCTTTCATGCAGGTTATGTGATGACACGGCCATGGGACACAGGGAAGAAGAAGGGGAAGCAAGCAGCGGGAGCAGGCAAGGAGCGGCAGAGGGAGTATCATCAGTTGGTGGCTGTTGACTGTGAGATGGTGAGTGCGATGCAGGGAGGCAGGCTTTTGAGAATTCTCAAAAACCAGCTCGATGCAGGGAGACAGGCAGAGTGGGGGGACGGGGTAAGCAAGGAGCGAGCAAGGGAGGGAGCAGGCGAGGAGCAGCAGAGGAAGTATCAATTGCTTGGTGGCTGTTGACTGTGAGATGGTGAGTGCGATATGGGGAGGCAGGCGGGCGGCTGGGGGTGGGGCAGAGGGGGGCAGGCAGGGGGAAGCTGCGTGTTGGGGCAGGGGGGGGGGAATGAGCAGGCAAATATGCAGTTGAATGTGGTGTTGCATCTTTGGAAGCACATATGAGCACATGGGGTGCCACACATGGGCCGCCCCACATGATCTGTCATGCGTGTGCTGTCTTTGTTGTTGTATGTCGCACATTTTTAACACTGTGAATGCTCCTTTTGTTTCCTCCCTACCCAAACTCCTCGATTCATTTCCGGGGTCAGACATTCTTCTAGGCGCAGCGCAGCGCAAAAGCGAAGCGACCAGCTGCAATTGTTCTCCCTCCCTGTGCTGAACCTCTTCTGCCTGCTGCTCTCCTCCCTCTGCTCGTTCCCGGCCAGTGCAACACCCACAAGGGTTTGGCGCTCACTCGCCTCACTCTGTTGGATGCTCACGGCAAGGTACGACCAGGTGAGGGCCGGCAGGGACAGGTGAGGATAGATGCAATCAGGTAAGTGCAAGTTCCTGTTAATCAGTCACCTCAAAGCTCACTCGCCTCACTCTGCTGGATGCTCACGGCAAGATACGATCAGGTGAGGCAGGCAGGTAGGGGCAGGAGCAGAGATAAGAAAAAGTGGTTCGAAGACTGCTTTATCAACAGTGTGGAAATAGAGTCCTGTTTCTTTCCCACTTTGTATGAGTCACATGCGTGCCCCTTACCGAGTTGCTGAAGCCTGCCTGCCTGCACGTCACCACCCAACCAACCAGTGGAACCTCCCCTTGTCCCGTGCCCTCCCTGCACGACCCTTGCCCTCTCTGTCCTCTCTGCCCTCTCTGTCCTCTCTGCCCTGCATGCACGCCAGGTGTTATGAGACGAGCTCGTGAAGCCTGAAAGCCCCATCACCAACCAACCAGTGCAACCTCCCCTTGTCCCGTGCCCTCTCCCACGTCCCGTGCCCTCTCTGCCCTGCATGCACACCAGGTGTTATTAGACGAGCTCGTGAAGCCTGAAAGCCCCATCACCAACTACAACACGCAGTGAGTCACCAGCAAGCAACTAGCCCCACCAGCCCCACCAACCCACCACCACCAATCCACCACCAACCATCCCCCCCACCACCCCAACCCCCTCTCATTGTTTAATGCAGACCTCACTTCATGCCAGAGTGCAGACCTCCCTCCCTCCCTCCCTCCCTCCCTCCCTCCCTCCCTCCCTCCCTCCCTCCCTCCCTCCCTCCCTCCCTCCCTCCCTCCCTCCCTCCCTCCCTCCCTCCCTCCCTCCCTCCCTCCCTCCCTCCTTCCCTCCCTCCCTCTCTCCCTCCTTCCCTCCCTCCCTCCCTCCCTCCCTCCTCCTTCCCTCCCTCCCTCCTTCCCTCCCTCCCTCCCTCCCTCCCTCCCTCCCTCCCTCTCTCCCTCCTTCCCATCTCTCAGGTTCTCGGGCATAACACCACAGATGCTGGCGGGAGTGACAACCACACTGCAGCACGCACAGGTGAGAAGGGCGGGTGAGGGGGGTGGGTGAGGGGCAAGTGAGGGGGGTGGGTGAGGGGCAAGTGAGGGGGGTGGGTGAGGGGCAAGTGAGAAGGGTGGGTGAGATTGCGGTTGTGAGAGGGGCGGGTAAGGGGGACGGGTGAGAGTGGGGGGCTCCCTTTTACGTTTCTCTCAACACGCACCCACCCACACCCCCGCCCCTCGCCACCCCCGTCCCCCATCAGGAGCACTTTCTCGACATAGTCAGAGCAGAGATTCTAATACAACCTCTTCTCTTTCCCCGTCCCCTCTCCTCCCCCCTCTCTCCTCCCCCCTCTCTCCTCCCCCTCCTCTCTCTCCTCCCCCCTCTCTCCTCCCCCCTCTCTCCTCCCCCCCCCCCCCCACCCCTTCTCCTCCCTCATCAGGAGCATTTTCTCGTCATAGTCAGTGCAGAAACAATCCTGGTGGGCCATTCCACAGAGAGCGATCTGCATGCGCATAGACACCTCAATACACTCCCCCACCCTCCCCCATCCCCCCCACTCCCTCCCTCACCCCTCCCTCCTCCCTCCACTTCCCTCCCCCCCCCTCAGGAGCATTTCCCTGACATAGTCAGCGCAGAGGCCATCCTGGTGGGCCATCCCACAGAGAGCGGTTTGATCGTCATTGAGATGTATCATACTCCCCACTTCCCCCCTCCCCCCTCCGCAACCTCCTTCCTCCATCAGGAGCATTTTCTCGGTATTGTCAGCGCAGAGACCATCCTGGTGGGCCATCCCACACAGAGCGATCTGCACATGACGTTTGATTGAGATGCTTCGACCCCAGCCCCCTCTCGCCCCCCTCACCCCCCTCCCTCATCAGGAGCATTTTCTCGACATAGTCAGCGCCGAGACCATCCTGGTGGGCCATTCCACAGAGAGCGATCTGCATGCGATCCGGGCCGTCCATCTGCGCGTGATCGACACATCCCTGCTCTTCCCGCACCCCCGCGGGCTGCCCTTCAAGTGCGCCCTGCGCTTCCTAGCGGCAGACCACCTTGGCAGGACCATTCAGGCTGGCTGGTGGGCGGGGAGGGGCGGGGCGGAGGGGCGAGGGGGGAGGGGGCGGAGAGGGGGGATGAGAGGGGCATGGTCGTTTCACAGGGTGAGAAGTGGTGCTGATGGTGCGGCTTCTGCTGCTGGTGCAGCGGCAGCGGCGGTGGCAGGTGGTGTTGGTGATGGTGCTGCTGGTGCTGCTGGTGCTGCGGGTGGTTACCGCAGGAGTAACACATGGTGCCGTAATGCTCAAAAGTCAGTTGCAGCAGCAGCGCAGGCTACAGCAGCAGGAGGAGTGGGTGGTGAGGGCGACGCAGCAGCAAATGGCGCGCACCATGAGTCTGCGCGTGGGAGCACAGCAGGTGAAGCAGCAGATGTAGCAACAGCAGCAGCAGGAGCAGCAACAGCACTAGCAGCCGGAACAGCAGCAGCAGCAGGAGGAGCAGCAGCAGCGAGAGAAGGAGCAATGGAGGGAGCAGCATCACAAGAGGGAGCAGGAGAGGAGCAGCAGGCGACAGTGGCTTCAGACAGCGCAGGGCATGATAGTGTGGAGGATGCACGGGCTGCTTTGGACCTCGCTCTACTCAAGATACAACATGGTAACATGGTAACACGGTAACAGTGGTAATGTGATAAAAGGGTACATACATGAGAACACTGTAGTGCGGTACTAGGGTAACCTGGTAACACCATAACATTATTGATCATAATGCATTAAGGTATCATCATAACCTGTAACACGGTAATAGGGTACATGGGAACAGCGTAACATGGCAATCCGGTGCACACACGTTAGTGGGTGGGGGTTGTGAGGTTTAGATCTAGAAAGAGGCAACGGCTGTGCCTTCACCCTTCAGCTTTCAACCATTTCACTGCCACAGTTTCACTTCCCTTCCCACCCACTCTCCTACCCACTCTCTCCCTCCCTCCCTCCCTCCCTCCCTCCCTCCCTCCCTCCCTCCCTCCCTCCCTCCCTCCCTCCCTCCCTCCCTCCCTCCTCCCTCACTCCCTCCCTCCCTCCCTCCCTCCCTCCCTCCCTCAGATTCTCTACCCTCCTGTCCGATGACTGTATCTGTCACCGCACACTATTCACCCTACCACCCTTTCTAGTCCTCGCATAAACCACAACTCCCAGCCTTCTCACCGCCTCTTTCTACCTTTCTTTCTAATCTACCACCGTCCTCCCTCACACCCTCCCTCTCACCCCTCCCTGATACACCTCTTCCCTCCCCATCCCCCCACTCAACCCCTCCAGGGCTGCACTTGCGGTTGCCTCAAAGGGCGCCCAAGCTGCACCGTGGGATCCTCACGTCATTGTCAAGTCTCCTCCCTCAAGCCATCTTCTCCCTCTTCGTCCCCTCCCAGGCCCCCACTTTAGTTTGCCTATACAGTCCTCAACGAAGCACCATACGGAGAACATTCTAACGCACCACTCTAAAGCCCTCTTGCAAACTCAGCTACCTCCGTCCCTCTCGCATCAACCCACACCCCTCCCAGGTCCCCACTTTGGGTTGCCTCGAAGAGCCTCGAAGATGCATCACACGGAGAACATTCTCACACGCCTCTCCTCCTCCGGGCGGCACTGCACAGTCATGCTGCATCTGCTAGCTGCCGCTCATCCCCTTCTCACACCCCTCCCCCAGGCCCTCACTTCGGGTTACCTCGAAGGGCGTCCAAGATGCATCACACAGAGAACATTCTCACGCGCCTTTCCTCCTCCGGCCGGCACTGCACCGTCGTCTTGCACGCGCTAGCTGCCAAAGCGGACCTCTTTCTGGGCTTCAACTCCAACTCCACGTCGGAGATTCTGTGCCTCAAGCACGGGGACTTGGGGAAGGTTGCGAGCAGAGAGGTAGCGAATCTAGTGCCAATGTTTCGGCTGGTTTGAGTTTAGCCTCTCTTCTTCTCCCTCGCTCCCACTGCATTCCGATCATCCCTCCGCCTCCCCTTCTCTTCCCCGCCTCGCCTCCCACTGCTCCCTGCCTCGCTCCCCCCTCTTTCCCCCCGCGCACAGGCGTGCAAGCCATCACTCAACCTCCTCGTCGCCACCTTCCCCTCCCTCATGGCCTCCCTCTCCGCCCGCTGCTCCTCCCTCGCCTCCATGCCTCGACTCGCCGCTGCCCTTGCTGCTCCCATGCCATCGCCAGCACCTGCTTCCGAACCTGCATCCGAACCAACTTCCCAACCTGCATCCGAGCAGCAGCAGCAGCACCACCACCACCACCCGGCACCTGCTCATCCAGCCGATTGTGCTGTGAATCTTCCAGGAAGGTGGACGCACAGGTGGGGCAGGTGCACGAGTCTCTGCCGCCCAACACTCTGCTGCTCGTTGTCACGGGGTGCGGCGACACGCCAGCTGTCAGACGGTGAGTGGTGGGGGGGTGCGGCGACACGCCAGCTGTCAGACGGTGAGTGGTGGGCGGGTGGGAGACACACCAGCTGTCAGACGGTGAGTGGTGGGTGGCGAGACACGCCAGCTGTCAGACGGTGAGTGGTGGGTGCGGCGACACGCCAGCTGTCAGACGGTGAGTGGTGGGCGGCGGGTGGTGAGCCCGCCAAGGATGGTGGTGGGTGGGTGGGTGGGTGGGTGGGTGGGTGGGTGGGTGGGTGGGTGCGTGGTTAATGCTTTACATGCAAGCTAGCTGTGAAGACTGTGGTCGCCTAGCCTGTCCCTTTGTCTCGGCCCACCTGCCTGCATTGGCTGCCCGGTTGGATGATGTTGATGCTCTTGAACCACATTGCACTGCCTCATTCTCCTTTCTTCTCCCTTCAATCCCTGCGGCAGCATGATGGAGTGGCGGTGGAAGCGGCAGCAGTGGAGAAGCACGGGCATGGACCCCTGGGACGAGCGCCTTGACGCTCTCTTGAACCGCATGCAGGAGCGGGCCTCTGCTGCTTTGTTATTGGCCGCTGTGAAGCAATGAGTCTGCCTTGGTAAAAGGTGTCCGTTGAGTTGAGTCAATTGCCAGAGCGATCTTGGAGAATCAGAACAGATTGATTTCTACCATGTTGGCCGGCAACAGAATTACGACCAATCGTAACCACTCCAGCATTGGTACCAGTGCAAAGAGTCAAATCATAAGGAATTCACAGATGCAATAGATTTATGTTCTAAAAGTTACTACCTGTCCTCGCTTTGCCACAAATACTGCGGCCATTTTTCCTTAATATATTATACAATTGATGCACTTGACTTAGATGAACAATATGTGTGAATCAATCATTTGGCAATACAAAACTTATACCACAAAGTACCAATGGTAAAAGTGTACTAATTATTTACTTCCGTATATCAGTTCGGTTTTGGTTTTTATTTTTTTTGTAGACTTTTGAACGCCATTCATTGAGAGCTGGGTTATGTTTCAGAGTGTTTCGTCGAGCTGTGTACAGTTGTGTATGTCCACTTGCTTGTACGACAAGCGGTGCAACTGTGTCGGCTGTGTATCCCACTTTGTCAGCTCGGTTTGTTTTGGGCTTTTTGTACAGTACTCAGCCGCTTCTTGCAGTTACTCTCCGGGAATCGATTCAGCACCGATGGTGTACTGGCACTGTACTGACTGACACATCAGGGCCTCTGACAGCCTTGTGAATGGAAGCACGAATTTTTACAGCACGGCACTGAGCCCTCCCCTCACTCACGCGAGATACAGTAGGACCCGCTCAACTGCAGTTTCATTTCTTATTTTTCTAGCGGTCGGGCTGATGTGCGCCCTTGCCCAGACTGTTGATCATTGCTCCTCCTGAGGGAGTGGATGTGTCCGCATCAATATTATGTTTATGCGTGTACACCCTCGTTCTCGCTAGACTGACCTCGGTTGGGGGAACTAGCATGAAGAAACAGCATGGTGGAGGGCGGTTAAAGATGGTGCAATATGGTTCATTAAGACTTTTTGAATAAGACAAAATTCGCCTCCCAGACGCCCGCTGGTGAGATGGGTGAGAACGAGGGTGTACAATACTGTGGTTTAGCAATTGGTATTGCAACCAATTGGTTGCAACCAAATACTGTACAGACTGTGCACGGGCAACCAGAGGAAACGCCAAGTTCCGACAGCCACGCGACCGAGCAACCCTGTGAGAGGAAAGGGAATCACAACGCGATCAATTGTCGCTAGTACGTGGCCCAGACCGGGTCTGATTGCCTCGATCAGAAGCGATCAATAACTTCTAGGAAGCCCCACGACCAATTTCATGCAATCAGGGGCAATCAGTTGATCGCGATCAATTGATTGCCTCAACTCGATCAACCGCCTGAAACAACCCAATCAAACACAATCACACACAATCACGCACGATCAGTTGATTGCGTTGGGTACATTGCACCCCCATGCGACGCTAACGAACAGTTACACTGTTTATCTGGGTTTCGAGTAGTCCTCGCCTTACATCCACGACTGCAAAAAACTTTTTGGACGCGCGTACGGTTCGCCTTACATCAAACTCTGTCTGCGAAATTACAGGGTGACACAAGTATCGCTGGAGCAGTGCCTGTGCCTCTCGCTGTCGCCAAATTTGTCCCGAAGCTGTTAGGAAATGTGGTTATGTTTGCCATGCACCTTCCCGTCAAATTCGCGAAACTTCAGCTCTGATTGGGCGGCACGCGCCGCGCGATCAAGGTCGCCCCGATCAGATTCAACCCAAGCAGATCACTGCCGATCAGACCTGGTCTGGGCTACGTCCTAAATGTGCCAGTATGTCTTGCCCAAAAGCGTTCTCCGAATGGTTTCACCAATGTTACTCAAATACAGTGTTTCGTATGTTCCACCAACGTTTGGGGTTTCACTCAAACCTGCGCTCCTGTACTCGCAGATGATGTTTTGGGCTCTTTACAAGAACACGCAGTCGGGCAGGCTCGGTCGAATGAAAACAACGCAAAGAACCGGACTTCAAGCATGGAATCGCTTTCACACCACTTGTGCGTCTCGAACATGATCAAGGACAGATGCAATTTGTTCTTGACGAAACAGTGGCGCCAGAAACGTTTCAAACGTTTCAGTTCCTTGTTGACAATTTTAACGTGACCCAAACAAAAAGTAACTTTTGAGATAAATGTCAGCGCATGCCAAGCCAGAATCACGTGCTTTTTGCTGACATGGCGTGTTCACTGCTTACGTGGTGTTCAAACTTGAAACTCCCTTCCCACGCCTCCACCGCCCTCCTTTTCCCCCGTTCGACCGTTTTCCAACAGCACCAAGACCATTGGATCTGAAAGTTGACATGCCCCTCGTGAATTTTGCATCGCTGGTTTGAGGGAGGCATGTCCTGTAATCCTTCCCATCCATCCCCGCCCCCCTCAACCGAACCGCCCGCCATTCCCTTACCTCCCCACATTTCTCCGCACGGCTGGCTGACCAAACCTTGCCATGCCTGGCACCCTGCCATTCAAAACACCTTGACACTGAACCAAAAGGAAAGACCTGTCATGCGAGGCGCCGCATTGTCGACACAAACTTTCCGTTAGCATACCAAAATGAGCACTTCCACTTCCACTCGAGCATCAGTTTTTCATCCTCCATCAGTCGTCAACGTACGCCTTCTGACTTGCTCCTGGGACGCAACACAGAGTCGTTTGACCCGCCGGACTCTTTTCACACTTCGCCAATTGGCCCCAGGCCTCCGATCCGAATGGAGTCCATTTCAGCCAGGCTTGACGCGAATCTTGTTCTGGAATCAGAGGAATCCTCTGAAACAGATCAGACCAGCAGAAGTCATACCAATCAGCAAGCCACCGACATTGACAGCCAATCACGTGATCCTCTGGCGGCAACAATCATGATGCGTGCGGCAAGATCCCAACAAGAGAGGCACGAGCAGCAGCAGCAGAAGCAGCAACAACATCATGATATTATCTGTCCGGCTGTGCCGCGGTGGTCCCCGCCTGCTACTCTTAGGGCTTCAGCTTCTGGATCCAGTTCAGACACACGCTATGAGCATGCTGGTGTTGGGTTAACATCGCCACGGATGGGCCTGACTCAGCCAGTGCAGCACATGCCGGATCAGGTGCCACACCCACCGATTCATGCGCAACACACGCCGATTCATGCGCAACACACGCCGATTCATGCG